AATAAATTGAAATTTTTTATAAACACACATATATTTGAGTTTGTTCTTTTCGTTTGTTTTTGTTTTTACTTTTATAATTATTTCATTTTTTAGGAATGAAGCTAGCTTTGGGTGAAAACAGTTCTCATAAATAGTTAGCAAATAGTCCTCTTAAATTATATTAGAAAACATAATTTAATTATAATACCAAATTTTTTTCGGGAATTTGCTATTATTATTATTTAGGCTACTGTATTTTATTTCAACATTTTATATACAACTATATATATTTGTTTCCAAAAATATATATTTATTAATATTATATATTCTCTGCTTTAACTCCACAATTTTTGCCAATCGGTTTTTGTCTTCCGCAACATTTGTCATTGCAACATGTTGCCAGCAGCATTATCTTCAATAGATGCAGAATTCTGTGCTCCTGATAGTTTACGTGCACCTGCTGAGAGCAAACGTGCGTCGTATCACATTATCTATAGCCTACTTTTAGGCGCATTTACATGAAATAAAATTTATGGGTTTTGTTTTATTTATTAAAAATTCTAATAGAAATACTAAATCAAAAAGTTCTTGGTTGTGTAATTACAAAGTGTTGTTGGCTCTTATTGTTGCTAGGCAGCGAGTTATATACATACAATATAAAATATTATTACATGTGTATATAAATGAATATGGATGCTTGTACATATGTTTGAGAGTGTGTTGACAGCTAATAAAGGCGCATGTATGTATGAAAATTAATTGTTAATTCTATGGAGAAATGGAAAATGGGTTTGATCATTACCGTTAAAACGAAGATAAACGTGGAAAAGCATTTAAAAAAGCAAAAAAAAAAATAAATGCCGCAATTAAAGTTAAATGAACTATATACATAAATAAGTAAGCGTTATCTACATAAGTGTGCTGGTCCGCTATAAGCTTAAGTACCTTCATGCAAAGAATATAAATAAATAAATACAAAAGCATTTAACACTAATAGTATTGCGATTTAAAGTAAGTGGATTTTGATTTTCATTATAAACCTTATACACTTTGTTTTGATTTATTTACTTTTCCTCAGGAGTTCTATTTTATGCGAAAAATAATACGTTTGAGTTCAAATGCGGACAATATTTTAATTTAAATGAATTTTAAAGTATTTAACGCTAGAACAAGATTATATTATTTTTGTTCGACAATGTGTTGTAATTTTAACTGTATATGTATATAGTATATCCAGCAACAGAAAAATTAAATTAAATTTAATTGAATAATTTTTACATGATTTTACAGTAGGAAAAGTACCGTTTGGTCAAAAAACACTTCCAACTAGTCAGAAAATACATTTTTCTTTTAAATAAGGGTATATAGGTATATATATACTTTTAAAATTTAAAAAAAATCCAAAAAATTATAATTATTAATTTACTTTTATATCAAAAATACTTAAATTTTATCACATTGTAAGACTCAACACAAAAAAGTATTTAGTTCAAAAAAAGTATAATAGGAAACAAGTAAAACAAAACAATAGTTCAGGAAGTCCGTAGCTTTTCTGTTTATCTTTTGTTGTTTTGTTTGTTTTTTAATCCTTACATTTAAGTTAATTTCGCGTTTATTTAAGCTACTATCAAATTATTAACTATTAAAAACCATACTTAATAAAAGAAAACTAATTAACTGAACCACTCTTCCAAGTGCCAAACCTTCATTCTTGTGACCGAAGGAGATATCTTATCAAAATATAAGACCTTTATTCAAATAGCAATAAAACATATACATATGTATATGTACATATGTATATGCAATACCCAAGGGAAACCTCCAATTGCATAATACATTCATTAACCGATAGTAAATCCAGTTAATCCAATCAATAATATTCATATACGCCACATACATACATACATACATGTATTCATACGTAAATAATAAGACGTTAATCGTTCGAAAGCTACGCTCTTTTATAAATCTAATCACATTTGCTTGCCTCCATCGTACTTGTCAAATCTTATCGCTAACCATCACTCGTCCATAACTACAACTAACTACAATACAAACATACAAGCTAGCTAAACGCTTACTTAATTCTCATATTTACTACTCATCTTATCATCAAATATATGTCATACCAACAACACAAACTAAGTAAAGGATTCGGAACAAAAATAATAAAAAGAAAACGTTTTTGACATTTTATACGATTTATAGCATGTATTAAGAAATGAGGAATTATTTTGTTCATCTTAGGTTAGGAACCAAATATTTTACAAAAACAAACAAAAACAATACTCATAAATGCAATGTGGCAAAGAGCTTTAGTTTTTATGCAATAGCAAAGAAATGGCCAACTTCTGTACAATCATGTTAACGATCTCGATGCACAAGAATATATACATATATGTATATGTATAGATGTACAGAAGGGTGTCTCATAACATAAGGCTAAGCGCATAGTGGATTGAAGCAAAAAGCTATGATCGTTTTGCATTATGCGAGCGCGGTATAGTTTTATGTAAATTTTTGCCTTTAAGTTAATTTGAAATGTGTGCGAAAACAAAAAAGAATATCTAATTTAAGAAATCGATATGAACAATATTTTTTAAGATTTACTTATTATTTTTACATTTATCAAACACGATTTGGTTGATTGTTTCAGTGCACAAATGTTACTTCAATTTACAAAAACAAATGATTGAGTGCTGAGACACCCTAATGTACATACATATTAAACTCTTGTAGGACCTACGGATGACGTAGAAATTTTCAAATTTAAATAAAATCAAATAATTGAAGTAAATTGAAGGAGAAGAAAGTGGTAAACGTGAATTGAATGTAGTTGAATGAAGCTCCAAATATAACTGGAATCTGTAAATATGTAATAGCAATATAAGATTTCATTATTAAATAATTACATAAATATATATAGTATATAAAAATTATAAATATTATTAAATAAATTGAAATGATATTACTGGTACAACTAATGCCATGTGAGTTTTTATTTGTAAGCGATTTAGTGAAGTTATGCATGAGCACGTGAGAAACAAATGATAGAAGTAAACTTGGAAGCTTTGTTCACGTGTCGACTTTCGATGTAGTTTTTAGGTTGTGATCAGAAACGGAATTTATAAGAACAATGTGGTGTGAGTGTTCTACTTTGCACGAGGTTCGAGTGCATTTCTAAGATGAAGAGATCTCTGCTAAAAATACAGTAGATAAAGTTGACTGAAACGTGTAGGGTCCTTCATGTGTCGGATGAAATGAAGACCGGCGCATGAAATGGAAGGAGAACCGATAAAGTTCTTAGAATAGAACCAAAACACAAGTTGGCGATTTGCTGATGAATAATTTAAATTTTTATTTGTTTTTTATTGGTTATACACATACATATACAGTGACAATTATCAAAAGACCAAACGAAAGCCAACGACTCGGTAGAAATGAGCGACCATATCAACTTTAACTACAAACATTTAACTGTAATAAGCATACATCAATTAAATTTAACGATATCAATAAAAAGAAAAATTAACGTTAACTTCGGCTGCACCGTAGCTATAATACCCTTCGCAGGTGAGTTTATTATAGCATAAAAGATCTTTATCGTGTTTTTGATCGGTCAGTTGGTATTACAGCTAAGAGTATATGCCACAGTGTTCCGATAACGGCGGTTCCGAGAAATGAGCAGCTTCTTGGAGGGAAAAGGACGTGTGCAAAATTGCAAATCGCCTATATACAGACCGACATGGCTAAATCGACTCAGCTCGTCAGGCTGAAACTTAATTTAAGCTGTTCAGGGTATGATAATTTTAAATACAAGCACCCAACAGCACAATACTGAACAATAGAATTTTCCAAAAAATTTTATGAAATCAAATGAGCGATAATCATGCCAATACCTAGGTGTTGGTCGAAATTCCACACATGATCAAACGTCTGCCACGCCTGTCTAAAATAAATACGAGTACAGCATGTACTTACGAATTTGAGCCCGTATTTACAGTTATCATTCGATAATTTAGAATCGAACTGTCACGTAATTCTTATCGAAATACCACAATTATTAATGCAGGATGTCGTAATCTGTCTGAATTAGGCGAACGTACAGAAAATAAATAGAAAATAAATATAAACAAGTATTAGAATAACTCGTTATCTAAGCAAAAAAATGCGCTTTTCACACATACACCGAGCAAACACTGGCTGCTAAAACTTCTAAGACGCCCCTCACCGCACTCACCCACTAACTTGTAACTTAACAAATGGAAGTTGAAATTTATTGTCAGTAGATCTGTACTTTAAATTCTTCTCGACATACGCGTACCGTTATTATGTATTGAATAATGCGACAGAGAAGTTCTGCGCAAAATCATATGATATTGTAGTCATTTATGGCCGAAAGTGGAAGTATGAACTGCACGAGCCGTGTTCTCCCAGGTTGAACAGATCATGCGTGGTTAAAAAGTTGCAGCTTTTGAAATGAGTCATTTCAAACTGATGAAAGATGTCCGAGACGGAGAAAATAAATCAAAATAACCTTTAAAATATAGAAATATAATATTAGTCATAGCTCACCCATAACTTGTTTATAGTACTCTGGTCTGCACACTCATCTCAAATGCTTGGCTGATCGTCTCTCCTATTTTTGTGGACACTTTGATGTTACCGAACGTTTGATGGATCTCATAAGAAGTTTTTGCATGAGAACAAATATATATCTTTGGCATTTCTTCTTTGGCGACACATTAAAAAAACGACTTGCGTAGTGGCAGTGCACAGTGGATACCACTAAACCACTTTGAGCGCTAAACTTTGGGCTACCTAACAGATACAAAACTTGGAAGATCGCATCGCAGAAAGAGCTCGAGTCTGCAGCAAGAAGAGCTTCGAGGATGTGAATGAGCACTATGAATCATGATGAGTAAATATTTTCGGAGAAAAATAAGTACCAACGCTGAGACGCCCCCTTTTATTGCAAGAAGCTCGAATTACCGTAAGTTTGCGGTAAGCATGAAATTGATAACGAAGCAAGCAATCAAAAATCGGAATCCAACAGCACGGAAATACAACCAGAGGCTATTCTGAGACCAATCTGCCGATGTTACAACATAATTACATATGAACTCACGTGTGATTAAATAAGTAAGTTTGTATTTACAAAAAGTGACGATAACAAAAATACACACACATACATACCTACATGTATATTTATTTATATACACACATACATACATATGCACATGTGGAGATATGAGTATACCGAAGTGCTTGCCTATAACCATCGATATATGAAATCAAAAAGCTTTGATGATAAGTTGAGCGAACACTCGTACACACATCATTATCGCTTCGGAATGCAGAAATATGTATGGATGTACTTATGTAAATATATACTGTAATATCTAAGTATACATATTTATTGGCATCGATTGGGGCTAGCGGAACTCCTGTTGAAGAATATGAATAAAAGACTTTACATTCAAATTGGTGCGATATCAGTTAATGTGTGCAACCGATCGCGTCAAGACGTGCAACACTCGAGGAGTTGCCATTCGATTTTATAGTTATTCTTTTTACTGTAACTGTTGGTGTAATCTTAGTAAACATGTCACAGGAGTACAGTACTGGTGAGGTGGCACAGAACAACGGTCGCGATGGCAAGCCTGTGTGGATTATAATCAAAGAGAACGTCTACGATGTGACGAAGTTCATAAAAGAAGTATGAAAACATAGGAAATTGAAACATTTATTAAAAGTGAAGTTATAAAAAACACCGTTAAAATATTAAATCAAAGTTGAATTTAACGCAAAGAAAAAATTACATTATATTAAAGATTTATGGAGGAGTCTGATATCTTAAGTAGTGCCTCGGGTGACATTATTTTCAAAAGTAATCCTAATAATGCTTCGAAACTTTTCTAAAAACAAATTTTAATTTTTTTATATTTTATTTTCGATTAAACTACAAGTATATCTAGTAATTAAAGTTAGAATTTTTTTCTCCACAGCCTTGGAAATAATTTAAGAATTCACCGGATAGAGAAAGTCTAGCTCATATGCCAAAATAATACAATATATATGGGTTTCGATTGCATCCACATTATAGTTGCGATTCTGCGTACTTTAAGAATAAATATCACATTTGCATAATCCCAGATTCTTCAATTTATGGTGTGCAATAAATACTTTTGATCTATGTAACTCATAATGATTAACTTGATATTTTTGGACCACCACACTTAATGAGTTTCGACACGTTTCTCTTATAAAGCAGACGCTACTCTAAAATGATGTATTTCTTCAATTTTGTGAAGATTCTCCCTCAATAGAGAGTATTTGTAATCATTTTATTTCTACAAAACTTACTTCAGGGCGTCGCTTTAGAAACCGAAATTTTTGTATCTAAGGTTTATCCCTAGTTATGACTAGAAGCAATCTTGTTTGAATTTTTGAAAATCTAAAAAAATGCGATTTAAAAAAGTACATTTTTTACAATGTTTTTCAAGCTAAAAAATAACGTAGAAATCGAAAAAAATTCGTGTATAAACAAAGCGAGATATTTTGAAACTATTACAGATTTCGAATGCTTCTATAGTTTCATCAGAAACGTGCCAAAACTTAATAAGTGACGTGAACAGTCGATATCTCGTACACCAACATGCTATCGATCAAATCATTTATAAGTATTGTTTCTAGTTATGTCTACTAACGTAGATTATGTATTATCAAACCACGAGTGAGGTTAGACGACGTAGTAAAGAGTATGACTTTTCGTATGATATTTTGAGTTTTCCATTCATCTATCACACTTTAAACTTCACAAACTGTTAATCAATCAATCTTAAAAAAATGTACAATACATACATATATATTTCGAAATCAAGTAAATACACACAAATGTGCATATGTATATGTTTTCGAATCACTTGGTTAATCTGGAATTGTATCTTAATTATTTCTAGCATCCGGGTGGTGAAGAGTCCATACTCGAATATGCGGGCAAAGACGCCACAAAAGCCTTCAATGAAGTTGGTCATTCCACCGATGCCATTAAGGAAATGAAGTCGTACAAAATAGGCGTGATTAGAAAAGAGGTAAGACAATTAAAATCGAATTCATGTATTTGCTTATCAGAAGACAATTTATGCACATTGGCTGATTTGCGGAAATTCCCCCAGAGAGGTGAATGTATGCGCAACTCAGACACGGACATAGCGTGATTTGTATTATTATGCACATGTATGTATGTATGTAAGCCGACAGTATTGAACTAACAGTGAGAGTTGTAATATTTGTAGTGGCTACATATAATATAATACTATAATTTATTAATACTGTGTTGAATACTAAGTTATGTGAGGTAAAACTATTATATTTTTAGTTCGAATATGTATTTATTTGAACACAAATAACCTGTTGTCAGTCTTAAGTTTTCGTTGTTGCTGTAACGATCGAAAACATTCTCTCTTAAATCATATGGAAGAAGCGAAGTATACTTTTGAGATATCGAGCTGAAATTTTGCACACGTCCTTTTCACCGCAAAAAGCTGCTCATTTGTTGGAAGCGCCAATATCGAAACACTATAGAATATAGCTGCCATACAAACTAAACGATCAAAATCCAGTCCTTGTATGGAAAACGTTACTCTCGTGATCTCTTCACGCAATTTGGCATGGATTATAGTGCAAGGCAGCGCTACAACTTCTGAACAAATTGTAAAGATCTTTCACTATAGCATATAGCCGACATTTAAACTGACCGTTCGGAAGCAAGATAAAGATTCTTCTATGCCCTTTTATGCTATAATAAATGCACCTGTGAAGGGTATTTTAGCTTCGGTGAAGTCGTGATTAATATTTCTTCTTGTTTTAACTCAAATGAATAGTGGTATAGGTGTGAATGCAGCTACAGATTAGAAATTAATTAGAATAGACAATGATAGTTGCCACAGTTAGGTCTGATATATTTGCTTACAAATTTACATAAAACGATAAGTAATGCATGATAACGAAAATACATTCGAAACTTGTTTCTAATTTCATATCTTTCTTTCGATTTTCAGTCTATGCAAATACTCAACACCCAACCAACAACCGCAACTAGTGGTCTAAATGAGAAACAACCGCAAGAAAATAGCAAATCGGAAAAGAAACGAATTAAATGTTTCTTTTGTTTTTGAATCAAACAAGGCGATTAAGGGAGAAAGTTGCCGGACTGTGATTAAACTAAATTCACTCATACTAAGTCATATTCATATCGAAATATTTATGTCGGATCGCACGATTTCGTGCTTAGCGATGTGCAAATGTGCGAAGTGAAGATGCAAAGGAGTAAATTTAAAAATTTGTTATTTATTAGATTCACTTACATTATATAATGTCGTTTGAATTCGTATTTATATACATAATATAATTAAATATAGTTTACGTTACAAGATATAAATTAATTTATTGTATTTAGTTAATAAGTGTAAAATGCCAATAAATGCACATTATAATACACTTAATTATTATATTTATACTAGTTCTGCTGCTGCCAATTATAGATATTTCTTCTAATGTGTTACTAAAACTGGTTCATAACGCAAAAGCAACATTTTTCTAAATACCGAATTTAGTAAAATTTTATACAATTCCTACAATTGACATTTGAAAATTTTAAACTAAGCTTTTTCGCCAGTCTTCAACACTTTAAAGCTGGCCTTCCTCGTACTCTGGCGATGCATCTAGCAAGATTGCACAGGCATTATCAAAGGGTGTTGTTGAAAAGTTGGAAACATTGATTGCGCTGTGCCTTAGGTAATGATAGAAACGAGTTGAGCGCCGCTCATGCGTGGCGCGTTGCTTCTCGCTGCGGCAAATGGCGCGCAATGCCGGTTCTACATCCAAGGCGCGTGTACGCTGACTACGAAAACTGACTGCAGTGTTATTCATGTAGTCGCATAGGGAGAGCCTAAATGTGAAATAGATATAATTTTAATATTTCATATATGTTTTAAAATTTACAAAATAATATTTAACTTTAATAAAATAACTAAAGAATCTTCAGCAAGAGTCTATAAAGTTTTGAGCTTCAAATACGATACAATATCAGCGGTGTTTTTACTAAATTTTCATACACATACAAACTGTATGTGTATTATTAGACATACCGTTCTCTCGGCGTATCGAAGAGATTGTATGGGCACGGTTTCGCTGCCAAATTCACTTTTATCGCCTGTTCAACAATCTCATGTGCAATATCCTCGGAGAGATGTGGCATTAACCGGTCGACACTCAAATCGGCGCTTCCTCCGTTAATTGAACCTCGGCCAACTCCTCTACTAACATCCGCCATGTCAGCATTGTGTGTGCCCAATAATGCGCCGATAGAAATGCTTTCGTAAAAATCACACATGACTTGAAGTGATGATTTAGTTTCATGCTGATGACATACTTCAGCATCGGCTAGCGAACTATTAAGCACAGTTTTTTTTGGTGTGCGTGTTCTGCGTTTAATTACGCCATTTTTCTCACCATCATTACCACTGAGTTTCGAGGCTTTCTCAATTGAATTACCCTCTTGTAATTGCAAACGCTGTGAGCACTGAAATACATCCGTTAAGTTTACACGTAATAAACTGAAATCGACGGGAAACGGTATACGCCATTTTTCATTCTGGTTGACAGTGAAAAATTCAAACATTGAACGATGAATGTATACATCACTCTCTTTACAACAGCCTTGTCTATTCAGTCGATCTTTAGTGAGTTGGTCATCAGATTCCTGTGGCTGCTGCGTGCTGTCTTCAACTGATAGACTTCGTTTGGTTGGTGATGCAAAAAACCCTAAATCACGATTGGCCACCTCATTCTTTTGTGGTGTATGTTGATGTGTCGGATTTTTGACATCAGCAGCAGGCGTTAAAACCATATTCGTTCGATCACCACCACTTTGTATGAAAAACTGCACTTCCAACAGCGTTCTTCTCAGATCTTTTCTATTATACAAATATAGAGAAACTAAGTCATCCAAATTAATAGGACAATTTTCTATCAACGATAGAACAGCCATGAAACGAGATATATTTAGAGCATTCGGCGGTGTAAAATATATTGTGTTCTGATGCATTAGCCGTTGGAGGTGCTGGCAATTGGGGTTCGTTGCCATGACAATAACAGGTCTCTTTGAGCAAGCTGCCAATGTGTAAATGGCATCAGTGAAACCACTGTCTAGTTGTTCAAATACCACGTCTGCATCCTCGATAAGAATAAGACACTTTCGCGAATTTTGATTCATATCTCCAGTGCAGCCAGCATTATTATCAGCATCAATGTGACTCTGAGAAGTTTGTTTCATTAGTTTTTTTCCATTTAGTGACATGCGGAGTAAGTTTTTCTGGGCTTTATTAGAACTTTGTGTGGGTGTTGAGTCTTTACGAATCTGGTGTGATTGTGTGGCTTCCTACAAATAATGGCAAAAGAAACATTGGTTTCAACATTAATTATTTATATACACATATTATAAAGATATTACTAACCTGCAGTTCTTGTATCAAGCGTTTTCCAGTTCGCTTCATGCCAGCATTTATTTCGAGCACATTGAAATTCATATCATTTGCAAGCGCGTAAACTGCATTGGTTTTGCCACTTGATACCGGACCCAGCAGTACCACAGCATTGCTGGTTACATTGCTGAGACTGGAATTGGAGTCATTAGACACATCAAATGAATCATCATTTGATTGCGAATTACGAGCACTTCCGCTATTACCATTGGCCCAAGTAGAAAGAAAGTCACGCAATTGTGTTACCGGCACGAGATTTACGAGAACCTGTTCAACGAGCATTGGTTTATACTTTTCAGTAAATAAAAGTTCACCATTGGGAGCAGATGGAGGCGGTTTCACTTCGTCTTGATCAGAAGTAGCACTTATTGGTTCTAAATTTCGTTTTCGTTGCGTTCGACGAGTCACCACAAACGATTCGCTGACTTGTTCCATATCCTGTGCCGAGTCTAGAGCACTAAAAAATCGATATTTTTCGCGCATTTGATTGTAACATTTAAATGTGGGAAATCGATCGAATTGCGACTTCCACAACTTTATTATAGTCCTTTTATTCTCCAGAGTGGGCAACAATGCTTCAAATAGAGGTGATCGTTTTTTGTTAATTATATATTGTTTTGTACTGCATACATTGCTCCGAGATCTACGCTTATATGTATTTGATTTTTTCTTTATTACCGTTTCGACACTTGTGCTCAGCTCCAAATCGTCCACACACAAGTTTAATTTTATCGTAAAATGTATTTTATTTTGTAAAAATAACTTCTCATCGGCATTTAACTGTTGAACATGACAAATACGAGGAAAACAGTCCAGCACCTCTTCATAACTTTGTTCGTACTGCTTTTGCTTTTCCATTTCTATACGCATTTTCTCAGGCACACCTGACATAAGAAAATCGTGCTTCGCCTTTAGTGCAATTGGATCAGGACTAGGTTTTGGTAGTGAACGTACGAAAAGTGGGGCCAATTTCTTTGCCATTTTTTCTGGCGTTGACATATTACTATCGTCTAAATTTATTACTTCTACATGTACAGCTGTTTCACATTTTCTTGAAACCGAAACACATTTCATGGTTGAAGAAAATTTAGTCGGACTCTTTTCTAAGTCATAATCATAACGAGCTTTTCCCACACAAGAACGTTTTGGTCTATTACTAGGTGTGTTTTCAATTCCCAATTCTCCCTGATTAGGTTGTACAGCCTCGACACTGCTTTCTATCACAGGTGTAGTAGATATGACCATTATTTCGGTACTATTTTTCCTACTCCGCCGGTTACGTGATTTTGGCGTTTCAGTTTTAGAGTTTCCTTTGTCTTTTGCTAAAGGCTCTTTTAAAGTTTTAGCAGCGATTTCTTTCGGCGACTCTTTTCTCGGAAAATATCCCAAAAGGCTGTCCCGTTTTTTGGTCGGAGAATTAAGTTTAGATAAAAACTCTTCTGTTTCCGAGTCCGCCTTTTCAGTTTCTACTTGCTCATTGACTGAGTCAGTCGAATCAGGGCGCAGTATTGTGCGCTTCCTGCGCTTAGGTTTATCTTTATCCGGCTTTATTGCAGCACCCATCGAATCGCTTCTTTTTACTTTCCTTTTATCACTTGCTGTTTGACTTTTGAAGCTATTATTCTTTTTAGGCGATGCACCATTCACAAGCATGTGTTTGAACCTTAATAGATAATAAAATGTAAATATGAATGTATATTTTTATTACAAACTCACCGTTTCGCACGATTCTCCAATTGTTGATCAACAAATGCAGCTCGTGCTTCTTCGTCCAATTTACGCTTTATGCCACCTTTTTTGTCGGCCCATTCCTGAAGAATCAACTTACGTTTGGTATTGACAGCTGATTCTTGACTTGTCGTGGGGGAGGTCTCTTTTCCAGGTGTATTTGAACCGATTGCTTTATTTCTGGCATTCATCATAACCTCAAAGGCATTCATTGCTTTTTCCTGAGTTAAGCCAGTTGATGTTTCACTAGCAACCACTTTCGATTCCGATTTGCTTCCTAAATCATCTGTAGTCTGTTGGCTTTTCTTTGGAGTTCGTTGAAAGTGACGCAGTATATCTCCATTTATTGAAGCATTATTTAATGGACTTTTATTATCTAGAGACTTTTTCCTTTGAGCACAATCGGGAGATTCTCCCTGTTTGTTTTCCTGAACGGTCTTCTCTTGTAATGGTTTTGTTTTTGAGCGTTTGAAGCCCTGTTCTTTGTCAGGTTTAGAAATATTTTTACCTTTTGATTTATTGACAAACTTTTGTTCCTCATCTTCAGCCACTTTGTTTAATTCTGCGGTTGCCACAGCTACAGCTGCTGCTTCCATTTGTGCAAGTTTTTTCTGCTCCCTTTTTCGTTTGTGTTTTTGTCGATGTTTCTTTTTTACGGAATTTAACACTTCTTCCATATTTTGTAGAATGAGTTTCGAGTCCGGACGTGGGGCTTTCAAAATAAATTTAGAAACGCTTTCAGAGGTGCCTTCACTAAGAACAGAACGTTCACCATTTTGGATATCAACGGAAACTAATATAGATCCATTACCGCTTTCAGTAGCACTAATAAAATCATTTAACTCATTTGGATTTAAAGCAGTCATTTTTTACACTTTTTGTATCAAAAACTAAGCAAAGCATATAAATTAGAAGCTATTTACTTAGGCAATAATTAATAAAGCAGCAAGCAAGATTGTGTGAATACAATTGCACATCAAAATGAGAATTTATGCAAATAAAAAAAAAAAAATATTCTATAAAACTTTGCTATCGCATTGACAATGCTACTAACCAGAAAGAGGTCAGCCACACACCTTCATCAAAGCTTTTGCCCTAGCTTCTCGATATACAATTATTAGTTGAATTACATCTACAAATTTCGTTTCATTAATATTTAGCACGAGCTTAATTAATCCGAAATAATTTAGAAAATCACATCACTTTATGCATCCGTTGGCAGTTTATGACAAATGATGGAAATTGGCGCGTAAAATAATAAACATGGGCTGAACAGACCCTATCCGAAAGGTGTTGCCCTATTTACATTATGAATAAAGGCGTTTTGTGGCAATTTGGTATGAAAACGGTGTATATTATTTTGTACAGTACCGTATTCAAAGTTTTAACGATATCTCTTGAGAATTTATTTTTTAATCCACAAAGTTGAAAAGTATACTTAATAAGATCCTTTATAGAAAAAAGTTTAAAAATAATAAACCGTAAATTTATTTGATTTTATATGTAGTATATTGTTGATTTGCACGTGAAACATATACAAATTGCATTGGACACAGTTTTATTATATTTTTATTTTATTAGTTTTATTTATTTATTTTAGTCACCAGGGCCGAGAAACAGGACTTAGATACAAGGTACCTTATATTAACTATTAATTATTAGTTATTAACTATTGTATATTAGTAGACAATTTTTAAGTATTTAAATTACATTTTGAATCAATAAATAATGTTTAAATAATATACTTTGGTAAGTCTTTAAAACTTTAATTTTAATTTTTATAATTGCACTGCCCATATCTACGATTCTTTTGGTCTTCTTTTTTTTACAATTTCTTACAACCAGGTTACTGCTACCTTCTCAACTTCAACGCTCAGGATTTCCTCTTTTGATAATACAGTTCTTTGAGTTTCTGTACATTCTTGTCTCCAATGATCTATTGAATCTTTGCCTGCACCACACAACCAACATGTTTTTTCTCTGTCGTCAGCCCATTTTTTATTTGCGCCTTCTCACGTTTCACGTGCCACATCTTGCTTTTGCAAAGTGTAATTTTCGCTAACTTTTAAGTATTGTGGGACTTCCCCTGAGTATATACTTGCGTATACATCCAATTCTCGCGGTTTTACTTCATCTCCAACCATTGTATAAGTATATTGTAGATTTATACAATGGTTCTATAGTTCAGGTTCAGCTTACATCCTCACAGTTTTATTAATATCGCATGATAAAAATTATATTATTTCACACCGAGAATAGATGACTGAAATATTTCTTTTTTTGACGGCGCTACATTTATTTAAACCGTCAACTGACGCTTTCATTTCACAATTCTAGGTAAAACGTCAAAAAGTTAAAAGGAAAAAATATAAGCAAACAAGTCCATTTGGTGAAAACATTGAAAAAGTACATATTGTGTAAATTTACTTAAGAGTCTCCGAATTTCTTTTCATTATTTGAAAACAGTAATATATAATCTGTAAAATTCATATAAAAATTGCAAGTGTGTTTAAGTAAACCAAAATGGATAAGGATTGTGTAGAAGAGGTGGAAACACAGAAGGAAAACGAAAAAATTATTACAGTCGATGAAAAGTGCGAACATGATATTGATGGCGTTGACAAAGAGCAAAAAGATGCAGCAATTAACACGATCCCGCAGGAAAAGTTAGACAATGAATTTTTAAATAAATGCCAAGAGGAGGCATCCATAATGCCACAGATGGAATGCGATAATATACCGTTACCTTGCGATTCTGAGGAAACGAATACAGTCAGTTCAAGCAATAAAGTTGTAAAAAAACAAGGTTTATCTAAGAAAATAGCCACTCTTCAGGAAAAAACAAAAAATCTCCATGATAAATTAGGGATCCACCGTAGTAAGTTGCAACAGCATGCTATGGCTGTGTCAAGTATTTCGGAAGTTTCTCAAGTTAATGACTCGTTAGCAGAACAAGCAATGAAATCATTACAAGTAAACATTACTAATTCACTAAATAACAGTATAACAACAATTTCTGCAAAAGAAAATAATCGAAAATTAAAAACTGCCCAAGTTCAGTACTCATCACGCAGGCAATTACAAGAGAAAGTTGGGGATCTACAAGAGCAAGTTGAAGGCCTGCATGAGTTACTAAATCAATTAACTATTAAAAATCCACAACTTAAGGCACGTGTTCTAACACTTGCGCATCATAATCCGAAGCTTCGTCAAATAAAGCTCTTTACAGCAAGTGAAATTTCTGCGTCTACTAGTAGAAATGCTCAACCATTGCTGACTGCCAAACAGAGGAAGGAATCGGAGGCCTCTAATGCCAGTACAACAGCATCACAAAAAGATACAACTTCTGTAAATGACAATGCTAGCGTACAAAAAGTTAGTCGAAAACGAAGTCAACGCAAGCGCAAGAATAACGTAACCAAAGACTCGAAAAATCAGAAAAGCGAGGTAGAATCTTTAAGCAAATATTTGAATAATATTGTGACAGAATATTTCGGCCCAGAACAAATGAAAAAGGCGGAAGAGTTGGAATTCAAAGGAACTTTTGATGATTTAGAATCGTATGCGCAAAAGTTAGTGCAAGCTGGAATAGGACGTATAGTTGAGGACGAAATACGAATTAATCGTAAGAATAATCGTCAATCATTTATTACAATGTCTACGGACCGAGAAGGTACTGAACGTGACGGCATAATTTTGTTGCCAGTAGCGAGGCGCTATGCCTTTGAAGGCGACATAGTGCGCGCTTTCGTGATGAATATGGGTGTAGGAGTTACGCCAACCTCTTCACCAGCCGACATAGTACCTAAGGACGAAAAAAAAACGGTTGAAAAAGCGTCAATAACTGGCGGCAAAGACACTTCATTTTCTTTAGGTATTTGTATATATATATATTATTTCCAATTTCCTACATTTATATACTCTAAATATATGGTGATATGATAAGTGATTTCATAAGTTATGGTGATTTTGAATTTTTGATTCCTTTTGTAGCTGATGACGAGGATCCGTTCGAAGATACGGAATCGCCTGATTCAGACAACGATGCTGATGTCAATGAATTGGATGCTTCCGCCATTGCTGCCTCAGATAATTGCCCGAAATCGTTTGTGATTTCTATAGTAAAACAAACGCCATTACGTGAAATTGTTGGAACTATTTCTTTCAAAAATTCCATGAAATTGAATGATGAGATTAGTTATTACAAACTAAAACCACACGATATGCGTGTACCAATGGTTTACATTCCAGTAAGCGCATGCTCTTCGCACATAACAACAGAAAATCAAGCTGATATCTGTGGTTTGCTTTATTTAGTGCGAGTTATTGAGACGGATATTAATGGGCATTGTATTGGTGAATTGTTGCAACCTGTTGGTAAAGTAGGCAATGTAGAAGCTGAATTAAAAGCCATCCTACTGCATAATGGACTTAAGAATATAAAACCATTTGAGCAGTGTTTCAATGACCTGTATGGGCAGCCTGATCCACCTATAACCACAGCTGACTTACGTTTTCGTGAAGATTGGCGAGAAAAATGTGTTTTCACAATTGATCCGCTTACAGCTCGTGATCTGGACGATGCTGTCTCCGTGGAGATTGTGGGCGACGACATATATGAAATTGGTGTTCATATCTCCGATGTAGCTCATTACCTACAAGAAGACAGTGAGTTGGATAATATCGTTAAGGAACGTGCTACATCAATATATTTGGTAAACGAAGTTATTCACATGCTGCCCAAAACATTGTGTTTTAAGTGCTCACTACTGCCAGGCGAAGACAAATTTGCGTTTTCCGTTTTTTGGCGTATAAATAAACACGGCGAAATCATTGGTCAACCGCGTTTTACACGCACTGTTATCAATTCATGTGTCCAGCTAGCCTATGAACACGCACAAAAAGTGATCGACAATCCGAATGAAGATTTTGGCATGGACGATTTTCCTACAATTTGCAACGGCTTCACCGTTCATGACATATGCTCACGTGTCAAAGTTTTAAATACAATTGCTGAGAGATTACGCCAGAAACGATTTGATGGTGGTGCATTATCAATCAATAATCCGAAAATACGCTTCAATTTAGATCCTAAAACCGGAGAAGCTTTAAGTTATGAATTGGATAGTCGACAAGAGGCGAATTTTCTCATTGAAGAATTCATGTTGTTGGCGAATCAATCAGTTGCGCAGTTTATATATGATCGATTCCCAGATATATCCATATTACGTAATCACGGTCCACCACTTTCGAAATCGATGAAGAACTTACGTGAAAAATTAGTCAGCTTAGGTATGGAGTTCGATTGTTCTAGCTCAAAGGCTGTGTACACCAGTATGCAGAAACTGTGTCGCGAGGCAAAAGATCCCGAAGCAATGGACGCTTGTCTGAGTGCATTGCTCACGAAACCAATGGCACGCGCTAAGTAAGTGTACATTTTACTCCAGATTTTTTATTTATTGGTTTTTTTCAAATTTATTATAATTTTTTTAAGTAATTATTAAAATCTTTTTTCAAATCTTAAATTTTTTTATTTTCAAATTTATTAATTTTTTTTATTTCAAATTTATTATTTTTTTTGTTTCAAATTTATTATTATTTTTGTTTTTCAAATTTATTATTTTTTTTTTCAAATATATTATTTTTTTTTTTTTAAATTTTTTTTTTTTTTTTTTCAAATTTACTTTTTTTTCCAAATTTATTAATTTTTTTTGTCAAATTTATTTATTTTTTTTTTTTAATTCATTAATTTTGTTTTTTTTTTCAAATTCATTAAGTTTATTAATTCGTTTTTTGTTTTTAATTATTAGGTACTTCTGTAGTGAAGGTAAATCAGAAGAGGCTGATCTATGGCATTATGCTCTTTCCATACCTATTTATACGCATTTCACAAGTCCTATACGACGTTACCCGGATATTCTAGTTCACAGGTATGGTATTGAAAAGCGATTATCTACATGAAATCTATAATGTACATATCATTATTTATTTTATTGCATTTTTCTTTGATTTTTATTTCAGGGTTCTAGCTGCTGCCTTAGACTACTGTCCACCACCCAAACGTACCCCTGACGACTTGCATATGCTTGCCAAAATTTGTAATGACCAAAAGTACAATGCTAAAAATGCCGGAGACGAATCCATAAATCTTTTCTTTAGACGCTATATTAAAGAGAAACAATCAATTACCATGCGTGCTGTTGTAACAGAAATTTTCCAACATCTGTTGAATGTGGTCACTATTGAAACTGGACACTCGATCAGTATTAATTTTAAAATACAAAAAGTGTTGGTGGACACCTCAAACGCCCCTGCTTACGTGCTTATTGCCGAGCGCAATTCAAAGAATCCACCAGTAAAGTTGCAATTGTTCTCTACCATTGATGTGAAGTTAGTAATTTGGGATGATAAAGTTTGTGGCTTTTTCGTGTCTCCGGATCCTAAGCAACGCCAAATCAACAGTATAGAATTGTCAAAGAAAAAACAACAAGCAACTAGTAGTGCAAATAATTCTACGAGTGAAAATAGTGGTGTGCGTAAACAGCGACATACATCGGAGCGCTCAGTGCAAGAATTGGATGAAAACCAGTCGCAACAACAGCAAACATCGGCAAACGCAAAATCGAAGCCAAAGCAAAATAGTAACAACAAGAAGAATAATGACAAACGTGTTTAAACAAGCCCATTTTTAAAAAGACGATTTTAGATAACTCACATACATGCATACATAATAGTTTGTTTCCAAAACATTTCTGTTATCTTAATGGAATTTATTTAATTAAATTTAACTATTGTTTGTAATTGTACGTCAAACGGATTTATGATTAATTTACTTAAAATATACCTCATTAGCATTCATTTTATAGTGACAATTATTGTGTTCTAACTCTTTAACTCACTTTAAAAGTGCAAATTTCATTTAAAGACAAACTCATGTAAATATATGAACCTAAAAGAAATCGAACTTTTTTAGACGAACTTCAAGTGGAATTTAGTAGAGCCACGAGTTTTAGACAAATGCGAAGCATACGCACGAACATATTTTTTGTAAATATACTGATACTGAGCAAAAATCATATATTGTTTAAGTGAAAACAATTAGTTGATATGTGATTTTGATATAATAGAAAAATATGAAAGCATTATTGTATGTATTTATATTTTAAGCTATTTTATATAGTTTAACGGCTATTTACGAAAAAAAAACCAACTTGAGAAGCTGAAATAAAAGAACCAAACAAATTATATTTTATATCATTCATTGCTTTATATCGATTAATCGCACAGTCTGTGTTTATTCAAAAAGCAGGTGGAAAAATCATCGTTTTAAGACAAATATTCATGGATAATATGTCTAACACATTCCTTTGATATCTTTAGAGTGTCCACTGTTACTATCAACATCATTTTACAGTCGGGAAAAATGATTTTGTGGATTTTCTTAACGTCTTCGCCCGCAGCAAGCTCTTTCGGACCTTTTGGTCCAGTAGCTTTATCGATTTCGGTGCTCATATGGCCCAATAACACTAATCATGATAACTGTTTGGATCACCAGAAAAATAAACAAACCACAGCATGTATTAAATCGTTGTGCTGCCCTTTTTAAGAAACGCTACGAACTTTCTAGACCATAAGAAATGGAGCAGCAAATTAATAGTTCCTATTTGTTGCTTAATGAGTTTTTAATTTGTGTTTAATGAGATTTGGTGTTATAGCTTGTTTTGCGATTTTTTATAACTGTTAATATGCTTACTAAAATAACTGCCTTATTCATAAATTTTACGTATAAACGGAAATTACCATGGTATTTGTAAAGAGCGAATTCTCTCAATAAGAATACGTATTACACTAACTCATTGTTATTGGAAATTTTAATTTTGTATTTAAATATTGATTATTATTCATTATGCTAGGTGCTAGGTGCGATCTTGTATATTTGATACCATCCCCACGCTAGTCGGGGCTAAGTACCCGGATTTTTTTCCGGTCAAGGTTTGTCAACTCTGCGCCATTCTTCAAAATTACTACAGGCACGTTTTCTACCGCTGCCACAACAACATTTGTGTAAAAAAAGTACTCATGCAAGCCACCTATCAGTTCAAACACCGGTTAATTACCAATGTACCAATGTATTTCAGTTTCTGTAATCTAAATATACATATACATTTCGAGATAATAAATTATTAAAATCAAAGAACTTTCAGAGTTGGATAGGATCTGTTTGAGCCATTTTCCTTCCTCCCAGGGAGTAAGGTGATGCATTTAAATTAAATGTGATCGAGTAGTGTGACAATGTGGTGAGAATTAATGACAAGACGAAATATCTCCTGGCATCAAAGCAGCACTTATAAAAGCGCTAAATGCATATGTTACATGTTTTTACACTCATCGAGTTGTTCCATTTCAATTAAACATTTCGCAGTGTATCGGTTTGTATATTGTTAAACTGTTAATTGTAAATAACACGAAACATATTTAATCTTCATCAATATTTATTTTGTCGCCTTCAAAATATGCTCCATCTGAAGCGATACACATATGCCACCTATTTTTCAAATCATCGAAACATGCCGTGGTAGGCGCTGTCCGGGATCGCCTTCAGTTCCCTCTGCGAATTTTCTTTTACGGTCTCAATCGAGTCGAAACGGGTTCCACGGAGTGTTTTGGTAACAAAAAAATATTGAACGAGCTTTTGGTCTTAAAATCGTTCATTATACTCTGTACCAACATGTTTTAAGACCAGAAAGTTTCTGGCCTTAATGCAGAGGAAAGCATTAATCGGATACCCCTAAAAGTAGAATTAAAAGTTAACAAAAACTGAAACGAATTCGAATGAAGAAAACAAAAAAAAACGGTAACTTCGGTTGCACCGACGCTATAATAGACTTCACAAATAAAAAAATATCCAACTAAGAATTTTATTTTGAGTTGTTGTAGCGGCAGAATTCTGCCGGGTTAATAGTTCTTGACCGGATAAAACCCGGGTCCGTTCCGGTTACATAGACCCGACTGTCGTGGGAACGGTACTTAGGTAGATAGATAGATAGATCTGTCTAACGGTACTTACCTCTAATGTAAAATTTTTCTGTTATTTTATGACTTAACGAAGGTCTTATTATTAGATTTTAGTTTGTTACCATTTCCGAGAGATAATTGCGTTGGTTTGCGAGAATTCCATACAATATGAATTCCGAGTCTCTCTTTTTAGGGTGTGCAAAATAAATGAAATGCACATTCTCTTCTACAACATACTCAAAAAGATCTAAATCAAATATAGTTATAGTATATGTCTAAGTCTAAGAACTAGATCGTGTAACCCTTCTACAAGTATCATTAACCCCAACCATACTTACGAATATGCCTTCCACTAAACGTGCCTTCAAATTGTATTGTGTAAATACGTATGTATGTATGTATACGTGGAATTTTGTAAGTACCCCGCAGTGAAATAAACGAGTTACAGACTACCATGTTACTAGTGTGTATTGCAAACCCAATGAGTCAACCGAGTATCTTATTCCATATAAGCAATTAATGTTAGTCACGTGTATAATATTTTGTCAGAAAGATACCGGTTTTATGTTAGCTTAAAATAGCCACAAATATCTGATTCTAAACCGAGCAAAAACACTGCATTTGCTCTACAGTAAGATATATTTATAATAAAAAAAGTTTTAAAATAAACTCTACTTAGTTATAAAATTTCAGGTTTTTCAGTGACCAATCTAGTGCTTAAAATTAATTACTAAGTAAAATAGAATCATTAATCATTAATAAACAATTTTAAAATTGGACCACAGTTACTGGCTAGATAATAATAGCAAAGTTTGTGCAGACTTATGAGCCGTTTCGATTGCTTATCGATCTTTTAAAGCTCTAAGTATAAAATTTGTATAAGAGAGAAGTCGAAAGAAGAGGAGTAGGCTTGAGAGCAGCAGGGCAAACCAAGTATTCAATAATCTCCCATAATATAGCATCTATATTAATACGTAAATACGAATGTGGACACATGTAGTTTGAATACAATTTTTTTTGTTTGTCTGTATGTTTGAGCTGAGTAATGGGGTTTTACTTGATCTTCGCAATGACGGTGCGTATAAAACCGGCAGTGAAAATATAATTTACGATGAGTTAATCGCAGAAGGTTGTCGCGGATTATCGCATGCTGCCAAATAATAAACGCATACACAGATTTATTTGCATACGAAATAGGGAAATTAGACACAGATAAACATGAATTCTAAATTAATCATATTGTGTATTTGTGGTAAGTATTTTTGTTAATTGTATTATTAACTTAATGTTAAATATATAAAATTTGTTTTTTGTTTATGTTTAGTTCAAATATGCGCGTTGGCGAGTGGGCGTCCCCAACAGTGGCAGGGTCCAATTTTTTCGAATCCATTTTTGCCGGACCGTCCTGGTAAGCACATATTTAATCATTATTATTAACAAACAACAATTACCTAAAATTGAATTCTCCTTTGTATCACTTCGCTTAGGTGCCGGTACTACGACTACCACTCCTGCACCGCCCGCCTCTGCGACAACAGTGCCTTCACCAGGCTATCTAGCTTGTTTGAGGGATTGTCCCACCACCATGGAATACAATCCTGTTTGTGGTAGCGACAGTCAGAATTATCACAACCAAGCTCGTCTGGACTGTGCCGCACGTTGCGGTCAAGGTTGGTATTAAACGCTCGACGCAACGCTGATTTACTTGTATTTTCCCTTGATTTTGTTGCTAAAATACATACTCAATTTTCTTTTATTCCTTTCAGATGTTGTTTTGGTACGCATAGGAACCTGTTTTCCCTTGGCTTAAATGGCTGAGAGTGCGTTTTTAACGAACATAAATTTCATCCGAAACGTTAAATAAAATTTATATTCAACTAAATCGAAAGTAATGTTAAATTCAAATAGGCTTTCCTATTGGCCTATTGGCCTATTGGCCTCCTCTGGTAGATTAAGTTTGAGACTGTTTCGCTTATAAATATTCACTCACACATAGACATTATTGAGTTGATGTTTATTATTCTTTATTTTTGGGAGTCTAATTAATTTTATGGAATTTATAATTAATATTCACTGAAATTTAAACAAATAATATAATTATTTATACAAACATACATATACACACATGTGCTAATATATCGGCGATTGTGGGGAGATGTCCATTATCAGAGGTTATCAGTTGCTGTTTGACTCAAATTAAGTTTGAACAAAAGCGCTCGTGTTTTTCGTCAATTAAAGCCAGAGAACTTCCTAGCAGAGAGAATTGCTCAAAACTTGTGTAACGGAAACACAATTATAATACTTAAACATATGTATGTTAATTTGTATGTAATATCGTGTGCTCACTGTTTAATATTTCGATATTAAATCTTTTCTTTTAATCTATAATTAGATTTAACTTTATAAACATGGTTGCTATCAAAAGATCTCTAAGATATTGTAAGTTAGTGCCATTCTCTCACTTCTTTCTTAATTTCTAAAGTTAAGTTAAAATAATTCTTCTTAAATTCAAAAATAAATACAGTCAAAACTGGTTCAGAGAGAGTTCAAGGGACCATGATTTTTTCTCGCTTATATAGGTTTCTCACTAAAACGACAACACGTTGATTTTTCGTTTAGACATTATAAGTTGTTGTAAGAGCTGTACTCTTCGTTGCAAAAAATATGTATGAACTGCAATGAGTATGACAAAAAAGTAATACAACATAGTTCCTGATTCCTGAAAAAAAGAATAAGTCATACATAGGAAAATTGTCGCTTATAGAGGTAAATAAAAAAGAGATTCTCAGTTATAGAGGTCAGAGTGGGAAAAACGACTTTCACTCATGGAGGTTTTTGTTTCTCATTCATAGAGGTTTTTGAGAGGTCAAAGTTCGGGAGCTGAGAATTATTCTCACTTATAGAGTTTTATCGCTTACCCAGTTCTAACTTGTATTTAGTAAAATGGATCAAAAGGAAATAATTCTTAATTTTACCTCTCTGAACGTTATTATTTTTCATAGTTTTGTAGAATAAACATTGATAGGTCTGGGATAGATGAGCATCATTATCCTGAATAAATAGTTACTTCTAAGAAAGTTGACGTGTGAGAATTGAAAAGACGTTTCATGAAATTTTATCAGTTGTTTGGCCTAACTGTATAACGGTGTAAACATAACACATACATACAAGTATGTAGGTATGTATATAAATAACTTAAGGTTTACCACAAGCCCAGCTGACGTGAGCGTAGTGAGTGTTTGGCTGCCGCATGGCTATTCCGTCCTAGTTTTATCACTTTTTACCTTATCTCCCATACGTTTAAGCATACAGAGGAACTGTTTTACTTTTGAAATTAGTCGTCGATCGATTTGTGGTGGGTTTCGTTGATTTACGAAGCTTTTATTCGTTCTCAGTAATTTTCATTCAGTTTTAATGACCCATACTAATAAACTATTTATGCAGATAGATAATTGTTACATATTGTATGATCAGCTCAAATGACTAATTTTTTTGGAATTGAATAATTGTTGTTTTGAGCGCTCTTGACATAAGCAATCAAAATGGTTAACTCAGAGCTCATAACATCACATCTTAATGAGTGTAAATAAGATCAGTAAGCCAGCATATAAATCTACAAATAAATATACAGACATATGTACATAATTAGGCAAATGTAACTACACATGTACATACATATGTATATAAATTTATATTTCCAAGCGAGTATCTACAAAAGAATTATAATTTTATGCAACTCAGTGGATTCGAAAGATCAGTAAAGAATCGACATTTGAAGAGCAAAGACGCTATTAATACGAAAGCAACAAATTTTCTGGGGGAATTGAAAACATGAAAACCTTAAGGAATACTTTCGCGCTTGGTATGTTTTGCTATAAAGTTGAGCACAAATAAAGTTGAGCTACAATAAATCCAGTAAATGATAAAAGTGCCGATGTTTTAATTCTAATTATTTTAATTATTCCTTTTTATATATTTTTCAAATGAAATCAGCCATAATAATAGTTAGCTGTGCGACACTTGTTCCTGCTTTGCCCCGACCCGCTAACGATCCCAACGCCGATTTTGAATTGATAAGCGGTGGCACCCAGGTTGGTCCTAAGCCCACTTTTGTGCCAGTCACACGAAAACCACTGATAATAAACACCTCACCGCCGACTCCAGCAAACTCGAAGAATTTCGCCTTTGACCCGATTAGCAAAACATGGACTTTCGTGAAAAAGGACGCTCCCATATCCTCGGAAGGCACACTTTTATGGAACCAAAGTAACGACAAATGGCTGACCGAAACAGCTAGGCGCGTCTAATTAGACCAACACCATTTATAGATAATTAAAAATAATTGTCCAAACAAATACAATTTTTTTTTATTTATAAGGATTAACGAAAAAAAGTCACCAAAATTATGGCACATAATATTTTTAATATATTGCATGCAACCCTGTTTAGGCAGCAAACAGCTGATCCTATTGTTTACATTTTTGCTATAATGTTGTGGATAAATAAGAATATGATATTGAATCAGTTTTAGAAAAAGAGTCATGCCAATCACAGAACGGGAAAAATTAGGTATCGTGGACTTTTTAGTAAACGAGGAGCAGAATGTACCTGTATTGCTGCAAGTTGCGAGATCAGTGACAAAAAATATATGCGAGGTTACAACAGCGCAAGGTATATATAGTATATAAACAAAATCGCCATTATTTAGTTAAACCCTAATCTTTTTTTCTTCTACAGAAGCACTTGACTATGTATATATACAAATTGGCGATACTCTAACTTTGCTTAACAAACGAGCCATAACTCGAGAAATGCTTTTTAAATATCTACATCACAGAAAAATTCAAGTTAATGCAGACTTCACCAAGAGCGCATTAATTAGTAAAATCATAGAATATTGGAATACCTTACAAACCAAGAGTGAACACATAACTCATAATACTGATAGTGTTGACAATCAAATAACTTTGCCATATGAAAGCGAAAAAACTTTTTTCAACCAGGTCGATTCCACTGTTACGACGCACTCTAACGATTGGAATGACAAAGAGGCTCCGTACCCCATTCACTTGCTGGCTCGCAAATTTACAGAGTGGTTTTTTAGCAATCTCAATATGCAAGCATTAAATGTCGAAGATTTTTGGTCAGATGCAACGCTCCAACTGCGTATAGCTGCTACGGATCAAATTAATGATTACGAATGCGATAGTGCTAGCGAAGTTATAACAAATCTTTTCAAGTCAAAAGAACAGTTTGGTTTTTACTTCAATCCGAATCTCACACATGCTGGTGTTCAAGGACGTATGAATGTGCATGGCTTAGTGCTGGTACTGGCATGTGGTACACTGCACACTGAGCAGAATTGCGTAGGGGTATTTGAGTGTACATTTGGACTGTTACGCGATCCATTCGCTGAGAACAATTGGAAAGTGAAAACAATGCAATGTATTTTACGCAGTCAGACAGCCCCGTCAATGCCTAGCTTATGCGAAAGTGAAACTCTCAAAGAAGCACTTTGCCTGCCGATACCGAAAGGTGAAATTACGTAGCATATAACTATATATACATATATCATCACTATTATAATTATTTATTTGGATTTAGTAGGGATATTTATTAAAATAGTCTGATTGTCTCATTTGTATTTATTTGTTTATAAATAAAGCTGTTGTTAAAAAATATTTCGAAAGTTGTACTGTCGGCGGCAAGAAAAGCGAAAATTAATGCAAAAGTCGATTGATAAAAATGAAATAAGTGTATTACTGGAATTATGTCTAGAAAATAAAAATCAAAAAAAATTTTTCTCTAGTAGTTAAAAAATTAAAATTACAAGGCAGCATGTGAGTTTAGCTTTCGCTAATTTTGTGATATAACGCGCCAAGTTTTTGCTCATGTAGCTGTTGTAGAGGCAGAACACATCCCTGAAGTAATTTGGTGGAATGCTACCGAGTTGACAGTCTTTGGCCGGATAAAAATCCGGGTCCGTTCCGGTTACATAGACCCGACTGTTATGGGAACGCTGAAGGTAATTTTGGATGCACAACTTATTTATAAACTTTTCGACATTAACAATAATAAAATATTTTCATCGCTTTTCTTGCCCAACAAATTACCTTAGCTTTTGTAATTTACTCTTGCAGTTTTTATTCACTCCAATTCCATGGTTCCTCCAAACGTACGAGTTCAGCAGTTAGATTTTTTGAAAAATGTAATGTATCCTTCCCTTTCCTTAAAAATTTAAATAATTTCTTAAAACAATTAAATATCGTTTGACCTTACAAAATGATGAACTTACTGCCGATGAAATAAATTTAATTTTTACACAGACTTTAGTTAAAGCATTTAACATCGCTGTATAACAGCCGTCTGAAAATTAAGAGAAAAACAAAATTTGCTTTAGATAAAAATGTAGCGTACATTTTTTAAAGTTCATAATTTCGTTTACATCTCCATTGCAATCACATGGCGTCGAAAATGATTTGGGCTGTGATCCGTGCAAGCAAATCGATTCTCACGCTGCTCCGAAATGGAGATTTTTACGAAATTTAAATTTAGTTTCATCTTGTCTAAATATATATAGCTTCAATCCCAAATTATTATTACCAGAGCAATAAACATAAAACATGCTGTACTCTCGCTCGTCGCAAAATGTGGTGGTAGGCATCAGCACGCCTGCGCTTTTTATGCGTTGCACAGCGACATTCTGAAATTAAATTAAATACTATAGCATTGTTTGGATAAAAATAAATTATAGTATTGGTATTAATACATGCGGGAGAATCTCAATCTATACATGTTTTTATGTATGATTTTGTTATTTATGCGAACACTTTGATCCTTTTTTTTTTTTTTGAGTTTTAATTAAGCATTGTTTTCGAAAGGAAAACAAATTTTTAATTATATATAATAATTATTTGATTTATATATATGTATGTATATAGACATCAAATAGTAAGTTCAACTAGTTTTTAAAAATTCCGCTTACTAACATGTTTCAGCCAAAACTGGAACAGAACCATTTTACTTTCTCATACATTGTGCAATTTTATTGCACATATGTATGTCGATTTTTCTTAATTCCATGGAAAGTTACCATATCTAAAAACACACATTTCTTATTACAACTTTTAAGAAATTAATGTTAATTTTTATGTTTTATATGCGAGATATTTAAACGAAATGAAAAAATTTAAATAGTGTTGCAGGATTAAAAAAAAAAAAACAAAAAAGTGAATTAAATTAAATTATTATCGAATATTATATATATGTATATGTAGGTATAAATTGACTGTAAAAAAAATTAAAACATCTTGCAATATTTTAAATATTAACTAAGTCCGTTTAATATGATATTAAAACTCCTGAATTTTTATATTATCATGATGTTTAAACACATTAATAAAATTAAATTATTGATTTCAATTCGATTTACATTCCAATTTATATAACAGTGCAGGTTATATTATGTAGGCCAAACTTAGTACTCTATTAGTTGACATGAGCTGACAGAATCTATTGGTTTTGTACTTTGGCAAAAATAATTCTTAATAACTTCTCAAACTAGCCGAGATTTCTAAATGAAACTTAATTAATCCTAAACCGCAACTCAAAGTGTGTTCAGTTCTGTCATCCTTCTCTGATGCCTGCTTGTACACTTCTGTACATAAAACATTTTTAAAAGATGTAGCATATAAATCGTGTATAAATAATTGTATAATACTTAATTTATAAACACTAAAACTGCCAGCATGTATCATAAAATACATTACTAGCAGCATATGAGGAAAGAATTACATTGTGTGTATGCCTGGTGTAATGGCGTCCGTTATTATTTTTCATATCGGTTCAAATAGCATCGAAACCATTACGTTTTAAAACGTCGCCTACATCTTTTCTTGTATAAAAGGATGCGTGAGTGCTTGATTCAAGGAAATGCGTTTCGATGGATCAAGTGCAAACATATTATCCAATAGATCTTTTAGTTGCGTCACTTTACGTTGTTGATCATCCGGTAAATTCTGGTCAGCGATTAGTTCTTGCTGCAAATTTCGAGTAGCTTTTATTACAGGCATAACAACGATTTTTTCCTGAAAGCAAAACAAACAAATTTATATTTTTATTTAAGTAAATACAACACTGCATTTACGATAATACTAATAAAATAATTACCCGTTCTGTGATTTTGTCAATTTCATGATAAAGAAAGTTGCAGCTCTGATCAAAATGTTGGTCTTTGAATTGACCCTTGCGAATAATTCGATTTGGTATTTTTCCTGCAATGAATAATTAAGAAAATATTTACAATTGTTTTGACAATTTTTAATGGAAACTAGGGTTGCGAATTTTATAATTAAAAAAATTTGTCATTAAAAATTAGATTTTCAATTTGAAATGGTGTTGCTGGATTTATAAAATTGAATTTTAAATTTTTATTTCCGTTGTTGGGAAATGAGAATTTATTTTTTAATCCTAACATAAAATTTTCGTTTTTTCGTTCCGTTAGTAGTTTTTAGTTTGGGATTAAAAATTCAAAATTTTATTATAAAAATTATAATATAATAATTATAGTTGAAATATAAAATTTGAATCTTAAACTTTTTTTCATTTGGTATTAAGAGATTAAAAATTATTTTTAAGTTGTTAATATAAAAAGATTTTAATTTAACTAATTTTTAATGCATTATTTGCAACCCTGACGGAAACAAATATTTTAATGATTTTACCTTTTAGGTCCATGAAAAATTTCAGCATTTGGTTGTTACTCTTTCCACTAAAGAGTATTTTACCGGTATATAACTCATATATTGTACAACCCGCGGACCACATGTCAATGCCATAGTCATATGTAATGCCCAATATTATTTCGGGTGCTCGATAGAAGCGCGATATCAAATATGGTGTAATTTCGTTGTCGTTAATAGTTGATGCAGAACCAAAATCACAAAGCTTCAAACACAAATTATTCTCATTCACTAGAATGTTATCGGGTTTAATATCCGCATGAAGTATGCCCGTCTTTTTGAGTAGCTTAAGAGCCAAAAACAATTGCTGGGTATAGCTTCGTACAGCTTTGATGTGTAAACCCACATTTTTACCGTATTTTTTAAGCACTTCTCGCAGGTTCATAGATAATGGTTCAAACACCATACATAGATGCTAAATTGAAGTATACAAATAAATTTTTGTTTTTTCATTGAACGTGATTTATTCCCACCTGTTTGTGGAAAAAATGACGGAAAAGCCGTAAGCAATGGAATCTATCTTCGGGATCAGCATCATTTAACTTCTTCAGAATCTCCAATTCACGTAGACCAGTTTTGTGCCTAAAATTATTGGGGTCATAAAACGAATTTACAACAATATCTTTTCTTACATTATTTCGTTATTACGTATAATTTTTACAGCCACGTTGGCATTTCCACGCGCTTGATCACGAGCTCTTACTACGTTACTGAATACACCTTGCCCGGTATAGCCACTAACAACATAACGGTTGTCGAGAATTTCTCCAATGCGCACACGATAGTACCCTTCGGCATCGTCCCAATTGTCAGTCAGTGCAGGGTTTTCAATTTGCGTTTTATTCAATACTATTGTACTAGGAGACTGAATATAAATAATTTTTTAATTAGTAACCCCAAAAGATTTAAGCTGAAATGAAGACAGTTACAAGCAACCGACTCACATCGAAATTAGAGTCTACATCTTGATCAGCAAACATATCCCACTCGGGCCGTTTCTCTTTTGTAGGATTTTTAATTTTTTTATCTTCATCCATATCTTTATCCTCGGCATAACTGGTCTCTTCATCCGATATCTTTGTTGGAGGGTTTTGCATCAACGGCGCAGGGTCTTCTAAATCATATTTGATAGGTGGACTGCGGGCCCTTTGAGAATGTGTGGAATTTTTTGGTGGTGATGTTTCTTCTTTACCACCAAGTTTCTAGAAAAATATATATATAGATATTTTAATTTTTTTCACACTATAGACGCATTATATTACCTTTAACAACTCCTCGCGCTGCTTTCTTCTCATCTCTATAATTTTCTCCTCTTCGTCTTCATCCTCGTTAATGTCAATATCTAAGTTGTCGCCATCGTCACTACTTGCGTCTTTGACTTCAGCTTTCTGACCTTCACTGAGCGATCCACGATAGCGATCCTTGTCACGATCTCGACCACGATCCTCACCTCTCCAACTGTCACGTTCGGATTTTCCATCGCGTTGACGCTCCCGTTCCACCCGTCTCCGATCCGATTCTACTTTACTACGGCTATGGGAACGCATTCTACGGTCACGATCACGTTCACGCTCTCGGCCCCGAGAGTTACCGTAAGAGTCTGCACCACTACGATCTTGTTGTCTAATTCGATCATCTCGTCCACGTCGATCACGATCACGACTATTTTCACGTTCCCGTTGTTTATCGCGATTTATTTCAAGACGAAGATCTTCCTTGTTTCTGTTTTGATCATGTATATCACGCCGATGTCGGCCACGGCTGTGGCTGTCGTCCCGACGTCGATGAATATTCGTCTCCGAATCTCTACGCTGTGATCGACTGCGACTCCGTTTGCCAGTATGTGGATGTCGATCTCGTGAACTATGTGAACGTGTTTCTTGTAACTCTTGGTGAGCATGTCGATGTTGTTGGAAATGGTCACCTAACGACTTCCTGCGAGGTGATGGCATACGCTCATCCTTACTGGAACCATAAGGACGGGATGATTTGCGTCTAGATTCAGGAGTACGTTGTCCTCCGCTAGAATCATCCAATAATATAACATCAGGTTCATTTGAAATATGTTTTTTACTGTGTTTACTAATAACATTTTTACTGATTGACGATGAAGCTGACAATGACCGCATTTTGACGGGTGCCTTGCTGTCAGTACTAATTTTTTCAACGCATGCAGTCCCCTCCGATGTATCTTTGTAAACACTGCGATTTATGATTGGTACTTCATTGGGGAGACTATCTTCACCATCGGACTCTGATAAATATGCACCTAAACGAGCTTGAAGTAAAGCTTTCTGTTTCATTAATTCTTCGAGGTTGAGTTCGTCTTCTATGATAGCAACATCTGGACTCGCCACATCATTTTGACTGTATTCAGCGAAATAAGTCAATAACATATAAATCATTTCATTAAAAACACATAACTTACATTTCACTTTCACTCCCGGATGACGCTACTTCCATAGTGGGATATATATTATTTTGAATTGTTTTAGTAATCTCCTCTACCAGACTTCCAGGATCAGTTTGAAGATTTGTCTTCGTTATACTGAACCTACCTCCATTTGCTTGCTGATCATTTCGTGGATTGACATCTTTGGTGACTTTATGCATTATTTCTGTGAACTTTTCATTAAGGGCGCCACTACGGTGTTTGTCACCGGTGTCTTCAGAAACTGACGACTCGCTGTGTTTGTGGTGTCTTTTCTTTGACTTCTTGTGCTTTCTATGAGACTTTTCGCTTTTACTGGTTTTCTTATGTTTCTTTTCCTTCTTAGATTTTTTGTGTGAACCCGAGGCATATTTAAAACGTTTTTCCGTGGTTGAATCACTAGAGTCATAACTATGAACCGAAAATTTTTCATTATAAATACACACTTTTGTTATATTAAACATAGAGGGGTCATAACCTCAAATGTATTTTCCATAGCTATTTACCTTTGATCTTCGCTAGACATGGTGTATATAATTTTTATGCAATCCCCCAAAAATTTAGCTAGCCAATTAGCTTTTGTCAATATAAATAATATCTTTACACACTTTGTAAATAAATCTTACAATTTCCTGTAGAATGTAGTTTTTCCAAACCAATATTCGCTAATAAAATATTGCAATGCGTTAAGCGATCTTAGCTGCGATTAATACCTGAAATACAGGGTACCATTTTAACAACGACAAAACTTCTCCTAGCAAGCAATAATTAAAAACCATAATTTAATATCAGAATATTGAGGAGTTTGTATAAAAACAAAAACAATATATAAAAATTTTTTTTATAATTTACATATATGTATGAATGTAAAATATTAGTTTTTTATGTGCAGAGTAATTTTATAGTACAGTTCCCGTAAATACGACCGTGTACAATTCTTATCAGATCCTTATGTCATAAATTTATGAATAACCGGAAAAAGATAAACAACGATAACAGTGATAAATAGCAAATAAATAAAAAATACCTTTTTGATAGGAAACTTATTTAGACATATGTTTACGCAGATTATACAAATTCTCTCATACTGAGATATCTGTTGTCAAAAGTTTTCGAATAAAAGTGATATCAATCTGCAATTATTGACGTATATATCAAAGTTCAAGGGTAAAACTACCAAAAACCACACTACACGAAAATAAAAAAGTCGCCTTTGTTGTCAACAGAAAAGTAAATTTGAATAATATGTCTCTTGGAAAACTAGTAGGATCCATTGATGAAGGGACAACATCAGCTCGTTTCATGATTTTTCGAGCCGGTACCAACAATGTCGTTTGCTATCATCAAATTCCCGTACAATCTATTTATCCGCAGGTTTGGAATAAAATATTTATGAATTTATTTATTAGTTACCATCAATTGTTGTAGGAAGGCTGGGTGGAACAAGACCCTATTGTTATATATAATGTGGTAATTGAGTGCATTGAGGAAGCCCTAAAGAAACTTCAGAAACTAGGAGGTTCGGTAGAGGTAAATTGTGGCATTTATAATATATATACATATTTGAATACTATATACATATATAAACTGGAGTTTCTTAACACGTTTTAAGTAATCCTTTTAAAATTTAAGGAAAATATGTTTTTATTTTAATTATTTAGTTATATATACATATATAAATACTCTTGAATAACAATTTTAACGTACAAAACATTTCATAACTCATCCCTATTTTGCAAAAGCCTACTTCTTTACTCTATCCAGCAATACACATTTATTGTCCTTTCATGAAGCTGCGGTACTTTTGAGCCTCTTTAACGCGATCCTCTAGAGAGCGGTTTGGTTGGTCCAAACATCGATCGTCCATTCGAGTATAAATGTGATCGTTTTCCTCAAAGTCCCGTGGTCGTCGAGGCAGAATGTGGAAATGTACATGCGGTACTGTTTGACCGGCGTCGGGACCATCCTGAACGGTGACTGTCGCAGAAGTTGTTTTATAAAAATTCTCAAGCATTCTTTGCACCTTACAAACTGTTGAGAAGAGATCGCAAATTTCGTGACACAACAAACTATCCAGACGCTGAGTCACTCGCTTTGTTGAAACCAATACATGTCCTTCCACTACGCAGCGTAGATTAGTAAACGCAAAACAATGCTCGGTTTCGTAAAATATAGTTTCCTTTTTAATAATATTACTAGCGAAATTATGATCCTCCGTAATATCCACTATCCCCATTCCAAAGGAAGTTAGTGCGTAAACATCATTACGTTTATGTTGCATTACTGGCATGCTTTTTTGAACAGAACAATTTTTGTTTAAATCGATTTCTGCTGTTGCAATCGTCAAATCATTTTCCTCGCAATTCGCCAGCACCTTCCCCCAAGGGTCAACGATGAGAGCATGACCCCAACTGGTACGCTTACTGTTGTGTGCACCAATTTGAGCTGCAGCAATGACATAACACTGATTTTCAATGGCACGTGCTCGTAATAATACCTCCCAATGGGCTTTACCCGTCGAGTAAGCGAAAGCCGATGGATATGTGATTATCTGGGCACCGAGTTTGCGTAAAATTGAACTAGCTTCACCAAATCGTAGGTCATAACATATTTGCATGCCCAATAATCCTATAGGGGTGTTGACTGGGGATACCAAATGGGGACCAGGCGTCACTACATCGGATTCACGAAAACGCATTTCCTCAGTTTCAACATCGAAGAGATGTAACTTTCGATAGACGCTTACCACTTCACCGAAATCATTAACCAGTACATGCGTATTATATATTTTATCGGTTTTATCATTGTGTGTATTGAGTATAGACTCATGTATACCACCCAGTGATACCCACATTTTATGCATTTTAGCCAATTCCTTATACTGAGCCATAGTTGCACCTTCCAAAGGTTCTGACAACTCCAATGTTTGTTTTCGATGTTCCCCAACGAAATCACAGCATTCTGGCAGGAATAAAAATGTAGCATTTTGCGTTTTTGCTTTACGAAATAACTCTTCAACTTGCTTCATATTGTTAGCTTTATTGTTTGTGGCACACATCTGCGCGATTGCAATAACCTTGGATGCTTGGTTGGAGGACATTCTTAAGCAAAGATTAACGAAACCAATATAGTTTTTAGGAACAGTTCCACCTACAAATCGCTTTAGTCTTTGGAAGAAAAGCATTGATAAGGCCACTTTTCAAAACTTGCTCACTGTATATACTGTGTTTTCTCCTTTTATTGTCCTATTTCGTTTATTTTCTATTTAAGCAAAAAATGTCAAATTGGATGAGTGATAAGTTATTCACCACCTATAATGTTATTTCACCATTGTACCAGGGTTGTTATTTGTTATTTCCACTGTCAAAAATATATACATATATTCTGAAAAGAATCAGTTTATTACAGTTTTCGTATTTATTAATTGTATTTTAATTCAACTATGGTGTATGCATTAATTCGTGCGGTTTTCTAAGAGAGGGCTCTACTAGTATTATTTCGCGTCGTGTTCATCTGTGGCTATATTCATTTCAAAGGTACTGTCATTTCACGTCATTTTCAGTAGATGTCATTTGTTTTAGCGTGAACAACAATTTGTTTCATTCATTTGAAAATGTCGAGATTTGTACCAGATGAAGTGTTTTTGCGGGGAGTTTTTTTTCATTACTTTACCATGAAGAAAAGTGCTACCGAAAGCCATCGTATTTTACTGGACGTTTATGGTGACCATGAAAATTTCAAGACGAATAATTGGAGACATTGCTCGACGCAGATTCATGCCAGATGCAAGAAGAACTTGTAAAAGTATTAGGAGTTGATCAAGCAACCGTTTCCAGACGATTAAAATCATTAGGATTTATCCAGAAGCTTGGAAATTGGGAGCCTTATGAATTAAAGCCAAGAGACGTCGAAAGTCTATTCTGCATGTCGGAAATGTTGCATCAACGCCACCAAAAGAAGTAATTTTTGCATCGGATCGTCACTGGAGATGAAAAATGGATTCATTATGATAACCCGAATATCCATGGTGCCAAGTTTATGCTATGTATTTGGTGGGACCACAAGGGTGTGCTGTATTATGAGCTATTAAAATCGGGTCAGACGATCAATGAAGACCTCTACCGTAAACAATTGATTCGTTTGAAAAAGGCCATCACGGAAAAACGACCAGAATATGCGACCAGACACGAATCAATAATTTTTCATCATGACAACGCTCGGCCAGTTAAAAACTAATTGGAAAACTGTGTGTGGGAAGTTCTACCTCACCCGCCTTATAGCCCAGACATAGCACTTTCCGATTAACACTTGTTCAGATCAATGCAGAATGCCCTCACCGGAGTACGCTTCACTTCAGAACAGAGTATCAGAAATTGGCTCGATTCTTTCTTGACCCCCAAGCCGGAGAAATTCTTTTGGGATGGGATCCACAAACTGCCAGAAAAATGGGCAAACATCGTAGCTTCCGATGGGCAATACTTTGAACCTTAAATTTATAAAAAACTTTTGACAATAAAGTCTTAATTTTCGAAAAAACCACACGAATTAATGCATACACCAATAAATATTTAAAAGGCAATGATATATGTACATATATATACCTTTGAAAAGCTAATTGTAATGTTTTAAAATTTATAATAATATTTTTAAATGTTACCGATGATGATTAGAATGATTTAACATTATATAAATATGTACCTAGATAAGTAAGTCTGCAAATCCCTTTATTATTAATTTATTTGTTTCGAGGTTATAATTTTAATATGTCAATTAAATGCATTAATTTCATATACTTATGTATATACTTTCATGCTATATATTTCAAGGACATCGTTGCTATAGGTATAACTAACCAAAGGGAATCAACTATTGTTTGGGATCGGGAGACGGGTAGACCACTACATAACGCCATTATTTGGTTGGATAATCGTACATCTAGTACTGTTGATGAACTAGTTGAGACAATACCAAACAAATCGCGTAATATCAATTATTTAAAACCGCTATGTGGTCTCCCTCTTTCCCCGTATTTCTCTGCGTTGAAAATGCGTTGGATGCGCGACCATGTTGGAGAAGTTCAAAGGGCCATGGAAGCAAATACCTGCCAAGTTGGAACAATCGATACTTGGTTGATTTATAAATTGACTGGAGGACCCAATGGAGGAGTTCACCTGACTGATGTGACAAATGCTTCTCGTACCATGCTAATGAACATAGAGACGTTAAGATGGGACCCACATCTGTTGCGCTTTTTTGGTTTGCCAATTTCTATGTTACCACAGATACGTTCAAGTGCAGAGCATTATGGTGATGTAACGGTTGGAATTTTAAAAGGTGTCCCCATTACGTCTTGTTTAGGAGATCAACAGGCAGCACTTGTAGGCCAACAATGTTTGAGCCATGGGCTTGCCAAGTCCACATATGGAACTGGATGTTTTCTCCTCTATAATACGGGAACATCAATGGTTCAATCCAAGCATGGTTTACTAACTACAGTTGGGTATCAGTTAGGACCACGAGCACCACTAATGTACGCTTTGGAAGGTAGTGTTGCGATTGCTGGCGCAGCCATAAATTGGATGAAAGACAATTTGGAGTTATTCGATTCTGTTAGTGAAGTTGAGGAGATGGCCAGCAAAGTCGATAACTCATTAGATGTTTACTTTGTTCCGGCATTCAGTGGTCTCTATGCGCCATATTGGAATCAAGAGGCTCGCGGGTAAGCCCTTTACATACATACTTCGATATATCAGAAATGCAGTGGATACACACTATTTCAGTGCCATTTGTGGTCTGAGTGAAGAAACAACCAGTGAACATATTGTGCGTGCGACTCTTGAGGCTATCTGCTTCCAAGTTCGAGACATTTTAGAATCAATGCGTAAAGACTGTGGCATACCAATGACGAAATTAATGGTTGATGGTGGTATGACCGCGAATAATTTATTTTTACAGTTGCAAGCCGATCTGGTAGGCATTAGTGTGGTTCGCGCTAAAATGCAAGAAACAACTGCTTTGGTTTGTATATGAAAAAATGTGTTTAATATAGCTCTTCAAATGTTTATACTATATTTAGGGTGCGGCTTTGGCTGCTTATATGGTTGTAGAACCTAACTTTGACATCACTGCCCCGCTTGTAGGCAGCTCCGGTCAAATGACCACTTTTAAACCAACTATTGGCAATCACGAAAGGAATATGCGTTACAAAAAGTGGAAAATGGCTGTGGAACGTTGTATGAATTGGGATACTTCTACATTGACCGAATCCTCGAAACTCGACTTCTAAGCTACGGATAGTGAATTATTTTTTGTTTTAAATTTACATGCTTATGAAATGATGAGTACTAAATTCATCCAAATAAAAAATAAATGAATTTTTAGTAAATAGAAAACGTATATTAATATCATAATTGCATTTGGTTATTCATATGAAGAATCAGTGAGTAAATACATACGTCTATAGATATATCATAAATGTGTTCTCACAAATGCTAAGTTTTGTGTATTAGGACATGTGGATTCAGATTGACTCTTCAATAGCTCCACCAGAGGCCTGTTCAAGTTCGTTAAGCATTATTACCCCACCTGCCGCTTCGTCAACGGCTACTGCGACAGGTGCACCGATGCCTCCACCGCCAGCCACTTCAACTTCAGGAACGAAAGGTACACGTGCCTCTGCATTAATATTCACTTCTGGAGGTCTTATTGGATTGCCACCTAATTCATATAAGAATCATGTTTTCATTTAAATGGATACATTTTAATAATAAAATTGTCTTTATTACTTGCGTCGAGTTCCAAAGGAGGATCCGCATTAGCTTCGGCCAAATTTGTTACTGATTTCGATTTAACACATTGAAAGTCAACGTGACGACTTTTTGCTTCCTCCTTCTCCCAAGACATGTGTATAAAAGGACGTTGTACGTAGCTATAAATTACTTCTGCTCTACCACCTGGCCTTCGACGAATTTTTTCTTTGTGCGTAGGATATCCTTCGATTCCGCAACGTATTTTCTTTAATCCACGATCTTTCATTACTTGCTTGGCTACGTCCCGATTCTCAATGTATTTAAAAAATCGATGCATAGCGGTGCTGTGTACAGCTAGAATTATACACATACTAAGCTGGTAATGGAAATATTAATTATTTTTTTAAATACGTACTTTGGCAGTATTCTTCACCCATTTGAGGAGGAAATTCTTCATCCCAGTCCACAACGTCGTCATCCAACAAAACTACAACATGACACTCACGGTCACCACGTTGAGCTGATGCAACCATTAAGGGCAGTATTAGATCTTCAAGGAAAACTTCGAATTGTTGGCGTGCACCTTCGTTGCTGAGTTCATGTAGTAAACCTCCTTTTAGACGACAATACATGCGTGCGAACATATAAACGTATATGGGGGAAGGGGAAATAAGTACGTATTAAAAAGTCGAAACAACAACGAGAGAGAAAGAGGGGAGAGAGAAGAATGCTACTAAATAACACAAATTTTGTTACAGATTTTTTATAAGTAATGTTGTTCTAAATCCTATAATAATATATTATCGATTCTAAAATGTTTAACAGTATATATATAATTTAAGGATAGGTTATAAAAAAAACTCACGTAAATTCTGGCATCGAACTGTGGTCGCATCAAATGGTATCAGTAAATAATCACATGCCTCTTTTAGTTCTGGTACAGATACAGTTGGAGGACATCGAATTATTCCAGTTTTATAGTACTCCAAAATCGCACGAAAAACTGTGTGTGAAATCCCTTCAGCTACTTCGTATTCGCCACGTTCATTAGGATGGACAAATTGAAAGCCTGAACTGAACATTGTTCCTAACATGGTGTTTGGATGTGCAGTTACCAAACCTTGTTCAATGACGAAACGCACATTGTCCACTAACAGTGCAATACGATCACTGGGACGCATTATAGCACCACCTCCAGGATTATTAGATAAACCAGCGCCTGTTGTACCCGTCTTGTCATGTTTCGGAATAGCACCACTTGCCGCACTCATATTGATCCTCTGTTGTGTCAGCTGATGATGGGGCTGTGATTTACCGCAAATGTTACGTTGTAAATACCCACTGCTCCTACAGGAACCGATGAATAATTAACGAAATTTGTAGAAAAAACGTAATATTTTTTTCTATATCTTACCTATTTCTATTTTTCAAAATTCTACGACGTCGTTCCTCAGCTTCAAGATTTTCTTCAATACTACTGCTGTCACTGTATGAGTCGACGACGTCAACTTGACTTTGTTTTGTCGTTTTTGTAGAGTTGTTGTTGCTACTACTACTATTTCCAGAATTTGGAGAAGTTGTTGACATCGTTTCCGTTGGACTGACGAAGCTACAATTGCTTCTTAAACTCCAACCCTCTTTTTAATTGTCGATGGTCGCCCGACGTTTGTTGTTTCCACCACTTTCCTCGCGTCTATCTTCGCTGATTTGTCCAATGTTCCAAGAACACTTTCTTATAATTCCTTTGTTTTTCAGAAATTGGAAAATTACATGAGCCATTCAAACCCACACCCCTTTTGCGTTTAATGATATTGGTGCCTTGTTTCGCTTGCTTTCTTATCTTATTGTTTTTATAGTGACTAACAAACTTTTAATTTTGCTAAGTTTTTCTCCAAAATGGTTATTGTTAGAAAGTACTTGACAATTTGGCAGATTATTTTAAGGCTGTAAAAATTTGAGCAGTTTTACCAAAGCGTAATCGAATATAGTATAAATGTTTAGCAAGCGCTAAAAATTTTAGAAATTTTCACATTACTATTCACCATGATTTTCATTCTGATCTATTTAACTGAAATGTCAATATCACAACACACCACACAATATACCAAGAGATGCAATTGGCACTGAACATTTCAAAATTATTATTTGCTTACTTAGCTAATACGTTTTCACATTATGATTATAAAAAATTTGTATGAAATGAAAATAAATAATTTACTTTAAATGTATTTAAAGGAAAAATTATTATATATAGAATATACGGAGTATGCAATAAATACGTTTGAACAAATTAATTACTTCTTGATATCAGAATTTCAAAAAATTTGTTTTTAACAAATTTGGTATTGTGAAGAATATTTTATTTCAAATGAGATTTTTTGTGTCATATTATAAACATATTTCTTAAAATTCTTCTAAAATCTGCAATTCAAACTGAAGCGGATTTGTTATATATGTAACCAGAGAATGTTAATGAATAGAGAAAGTGCAAATGTCAAATAAAATTATTTTAAGTACTAATTTGTAGTTTTCACAAGAGGGAACATCGAAAAATATAACTTCGAAAAATAGAAATACACCACGCAATGTGTGAATTCATTACCTTTCTCTGATATATGGTTATTAATCTGATAAGAAATTGTTTTCTTGTACATTTGTACTTTCCTTTACGAGAGATGATTGCGAAGATAACAATCCCATCACTGATTGATTTCATTCACAATAATGCAATCAGTTTAAGAATGTCGGATTAGCCATCTGGCGGTTTATGGAAGGAACGACAAGTGCAGCGAAGAAGTGGCTAAGGCGAAGTAAAAATGGAGTGTCGAAAAATTAATAATGGCGACGACGTCTTGTAAATATAAAAGAAATTGAAGAAAAGCAATTTCTACGGTGTGAATCAATCGAATTTCTCATAAAGAATATAAACTAAAACAAAGGTGCGCTTTGCGCATTAAAAAATGGTAAAAGTTGTGTGTGTAGTGAATGAAAATGTGTACGACGAGAAATTGCGGCGGCAAAAGTTAATTTTCTTAGCTTTCGATTGTAGCTATTCGCAAAAAAGGGAACAAGTAGGAAACAGCACCAGCGTAGAAAAAGTATTGTGTTCTTCGCAATATATATTCGCAAATAGATATTTAAGAGAGAATGATTTAATATAAAAATGGTGTTTCTAATTGGTGGACTAATTTAGTGGTGAATGTAAGATTTTGTATAAAATAATTTTCATGTCGTGGATATATTGCATGTACTCTATACGAGCAAAAATTTACCATTTAATTTTACTAAAAGACCTCACCGCATATGTGACTGTCCCGTTCACTCACACGTATATATGAAGGGGTTCGTGGGCGACGACTAGTGCGCTTAATGTGGTTTTGCAGTGTATTTAGTTTTGCAATTGCGCGGAATTCGCCGTATATTATTAGTGTCATCTGTTGGTGAAATAATGCAATTTTTAGAATTTCCCGGCGAATTTTAGGAAGGCACAGGCCAACGAATATGTGGAGAAAAAACAAAAACAGTGTAAACTATTAATTTATTCGCATGTAATTAGTTGAATGATATTATGTAAAAAACTATGAATGATGAAAAGGAGGATACATTTGGTGGGCTTTCTGCTCCACCTTATTGTGATTCTCCTTTGAGGTGTTAGTTTTATTCCTTATGTGCAGCGCTTCCAAAGCATAGTATATAAAGTGGAAATCGAACGGTGCACTAAGTAATTTGTGCATGTATGTAAGAGTGAGAGAGTGAATAGGTGAGAGTGAGCAAGAAGTAGATATCAATCGAAAAGACGAATAGTGAAGAGCATAAACTCAGTGCAAGGCATTAAAGTAAAACGCAGAGATTTGTTAAAAATTTATTTTTATTTTATATTTAACTTTTTCAAAATTAGGTATGTAATGTAAATTCGAAAGGCCAAAAAAACACTAACAATTTTGAATTATACCATTTGATGGATACAACGTGTTTGAGACTTTTGAAAAATGTAAACCCATTAGATATTTTCCAAAGTGCAAGGAGATCTTAAAAAACAAAAGAAAATATACACAAAATACACACTGCGAAAAATGATGCACAATAAAGACGGAAACTCATTCTAAAGGAAGGCGATAAATCGGTAAAAAGGACAATTTAGCCAATAACAATAATATATACTTTAACCGATTAGCTGCAATACCCAGTTTAACTGACATCAATTTATTTTAAAGGGTTTATCTGTAACTTACCGAAAACCTAAACGTGATCGTTAATAATATACGCGCAAATAATAATCAGCAAAGACTATATCATACCCAACATACATCGTACAATTTCTATGGTCATTAGTCAGCGGCATTATTGCCTTGCTACCAATTGGTAAACACTAACGCTCTTCTTGAATAGTTCAAGTGGGCGGGACGTGTTAAAAACTAAAAACTGTAGCTTTGTTGGAGCAGTTTTCAAAATTCATCAAAGTGGCGCGTTACGGGCACGGACAAGAAGCAGCGTCTCGCTCCATGTTTTCCCGACGCTTGCGACGACGTGTACGAGACTTAACGCCCTGCCACTATCGTACGTGCATACGTAAAGTGGCTAAAATTCCGAATCCCAACGCAAAAATATTAACACATACATTTTCAATACAAGTGGGGACCAGTGTACAACCTGTACCACATGCTCATTTCCAGCAAAAACTGAAACAGCAACAAAGACAGCATTTGGTTAGCCACTTAAGGATTTAAGCATGTAGTAAGTCTAATTGCTGATATTAAAAATGAATATGTATAAAACTATAATAATAAATCTAATTTCAGGTCTAATACTAAAAATTATATAAAAGTGCAAAAGAGAACACTTTCAAAGTTATAGTAGTGTTTATCCAATCACAATAAAAATCCAGCAACTACACGTTAGTGCATAAAGCAATCAAAAATTAAAAAATAATAATAATAAAAACTGCACCATTTACTAAAAGTCACCAAACCAAATAGAACATCACAACATTATAATTTAATGTTGTGCCTCAACACATCAATTAAAGCGGTGTAAAAAGTGACAATTTAATTACTAGATTTATTCTCCTAATATACGTAAACCGTTGAGTAATTTGTTTTTTCTTGAGTTCACTTGAGCGAATAGAAATCAACTGTTACCAATGAAAGATGTCACAAAGAGGTAAACGCGGTAATCATCAACATCATCAAAGGCTCGACGTCGAGCCACAACCTCCGCCAACAAAGCGACGCAAAGGTCGGCCGCCCAATGGAGGTGGGGGAAGCAATGGTAGTGGAAGTGCCGGAAGTGGTGGAGGTGGAGTAGGAAGTGGGCTCAATGGCAGCATTGGTGGCGGAAATGGTGGCAGCCATAGTGGTAGCGTAGTAGGTAGTGCACCTCTATGTTTACCATATACCGCTTCTTCTTCAATAAGCAATAGTAATGCTGAAAATGAGCAAAACAGCGTAGTCGCTTTAATACCAGAAGAAATGGCGGCATTAGCGTCCACAAGTGCTAAAGTAGCAGCCAGCCAGGGCTCTTCATCCTCGGCGGCAGCGTGGCAACCGCGTTCAGTGGCAGATATTAAAATTTCAAGTATTTACAATCGAAGCTCAACGGAGGCACCAGCCGAGCTCTATCGGTATGTATTAAGTATATTATATTTCCCAAAATCGCATGTTATATGATTTCCAATTTGTAAATAAATTATATGAAATCATGTTTAGGTTATTTATATAAAATCACTTCATAAAATTTACTTACAGCAAGGATCTCATTAGTGCAATGAAATTGCCGGATTCAGAGCCCTTGGCTAATTACGAGTATCTCGTAGTAAACGATCAGTGGAAGCAAGAGTGGGAAAAGGGTGTGCAGGTGCCTGTAAATCCCGATTCTTTGCCAGAGCCCACCGTTTACGTGCTGCCAGAACCAATAGTGCCGCCTGCGCATGACTTTAAACTGTAAGTATTCTCAAATTACTAAACATGGACACACGACCAAATATTGTAATTATAATTTATTTACATCTGCTTTTTAGTCCCAAAAATCGCTTCCTGCGCATTACGAAAGATGATACTTACTCCAGTGAGTTACATTGTCTTACAAATGTGGTCGCGCAAGCAGAGAATACATGTGCCTACGACATTGATCCGGTCGATGAAGCTTGGCTGCTATTACTCAACTCCGATCGAGCGCAGTACGGTGCTTATTCCATAACGGAAACACAATTTGAACGCGTTATCGAAGAATTAGAGGTGTGTATTAAATAGTTCAGTTGATTTCCTAAAATTGTATTTAGTCATATGAGGTTAGAAAGAACAAATTGTAAATTTATATTTTTTTTGTTCGTGCTTGCAGATACGATGTTGGGAGCAAATACAAGTAATCCTAAAAAATGAGGAAGGTCTTGGCATCGAATATGATGAAAACGTTATATGTGACGTATGCAGATCTCCCGACTCTGAGGAAGCGAATGAAATGGTATTCTGTGATAATTGCAATATTTGCGTACATCAGGCATGTTACGGTATTACAGCGATTCCATCAGGTTCGTAAACCACCAAAACTACAAAATTAAATAATATCACCATATAACCGTTAAAGCAACACATATTCTAATTACATTTTACATATTTTTGATTAGGACAATGGCTTTGTCGGACGTGTTCGATGGGTATTAAACCGGATTGTGTACTGTGTCCGAACAAAGGAGGCGCAATGAAATCTACAAAATCTGGCAAACATTGGGCGCATGTTTCCTGTGCCCTATGGATACCTGAAGTAAGCATTGGTTGTGTAGATCGCATGGAACCAATCACGAAGATCTCGAGCATTCCCTCGAGTCGTTGGGCACTTGTTTGCATTTTGTGTCGGGCACGTGTTGGTGCTTGCATACAATGTTCGGTAAAAACCTGTAAAACCGCTTATCACGTGACATGCGCTTTTCAACATGGCCTTGAGATGCGAGCAATTATTGAAGAGGGTAACGCGGAGGATGGTGTTAAACTGCGTTCATATTGCCAAAAGCATAGTGTTAGTAAAGGAAAAAAGGATGGTAGTGGTACACATAGTAGTAGCACAAATAAACATAATAGTACACATGGTGCAGCTAATGAAGAGGACGATTGCCGGCGACGCAAAAGTCGAAAATCTGATATGACATCAGAAGAACGCAATCAAGCGCGGGCTCAACGCTTACAGGTGAGTGCAGAACATACGATTTGAAATTAAATGGTTTTTATTAACCAATAATATAAGGGAGATGAGATCCATATTTCTGTAGCAGCTTCTTCTAGAAAGATCTTTTTAATAGAAAACTAAATTTCAATGCCCCAAAATACCAAGAATATATTTACTTAATGACTTATAGCAAATTAAGCTATCATAAACAGCATTTTTTTTAAGTACATACTGTTATTTTTGCAACTTTAAATGTTATTCTATAATTTTCTTTATAATGTTCTCTTAACAGGAAGTCGAGGCTGAGTTCGATAAACATGTCAACATTAAGGACATCAGTTGCCATTTGTTCGATGTGGATGACGATGCCATTGAATCGATTTACAATTATTGGAAGTTGAAACGAAAATCGCGGCATAATCGTGCTCTGATTCCACCCAAGTCGGAGGACGTAGAAATGATAGCGCGCAAACAGGAACAACAGGATCTCGAGAATCACAAGTTGGTCGTACATTTACGTCAGGATTTGGAGCGTGTAAGAAATCTTTGTTATATGGTTAGTAGGCGGGAAAAGCTCTCACGATCGCTTTTCAAGCTGCGCGAACAGGTATTTTACAAGCAAATTTCAGTGCTTAGCGATGATAATTTGCGGGAAGTTGGTAGTGGTGTTTCCAATGTGCCCAATGCGGCGATTGATGCTAACTTAGATGATAGCTTCAAAAATGCCGTTATTTACGCGAATGACGGCCCAACGCTGTATGATAGGTTTTATTCATCGAATAGCGGTGAAAGTATTCCAGCACAATATCAAAATATTAACTTCATTTTAGAGAAGCTTTTAGGTAATGTGAAAGGAAATAAGGGAACTGGTAGAGGTGCCGGTGCGCGTACATCAACATCACCCACAAAACGAAAAAATACGCATACTTCAACGGCAACGTCAACGGCAACGGCAAATACTAATGCAAACACGAGTGCAAACTCGGGCAGTTCGAGTGCGAATGCTCCTAGCACCGGCAACAATAATAGCAATAGTAATAAAATATCGCCAAATAAGAAAGTAAACAATGGTGCAATAGCAATAGCACAAGCGAGCGGTGCGTTGGTTGCGCCGTCGTCTACGTCATTGGCAGCGGGCACAGGAACGGGTAGTGAAAAACAGATCAATTCTAGTCGCCGCAGTTCAACGGGTGCAGCTGGTGGTTGTGCCGCAAACTCAACAGTTCCGGAGAAAAATCGAATTTCCACTTCGAAAAATAACACAGTTAATAGTATTGTTTCGAATAATCGTACGACGGCAACGGAATCGCGTTCACGTGGTACGAAAAGCGGAAATAGCGGTGAGAAGAAATCCACAATTAAAGGCTCGACAAAACGCACGCATGACAGCAGCCAGTCGTCTAATAACAATTCGTCAGGGAGTTCAACCTCCGGTGATGATGACTCGTCATCGGAGGAAGAAGGAACGTCAACCGATTCGGGCAGTTCTGGTTCCGATGATGAATCAGACTCAGGCTCATGCACAACTGCATCGACATCAAGTGCCGGCAGTGGTGCGCAATCTGCTAGAGCAACCGCAAGAAAACTATCACCTGCAAAAGCAGGTAGCACAACACATGCCATTGCGACGGCTTCAAATCAAAATCAAAAGAAGCAAAGTTATGTGCGATCCGCGGAATTGCGACAAAAGCAAAGAAGAAAAAGTGCTAGCAATAACATCGCCGCCACAGGAACGGGACGAGGCGATACTTCTGCGCCAACAGTGCTGTCCAGCTCTAGTGATGACGAACCAGATAACCGATCAGTACCTGCCAAACATCAACACCAACAACAGCAACAACAATCTAAGTCAACAAAACAAAACCATATTAGTCCGAAGAAATCTACTAGCCTCAGCACAACAACAACAACGTCGTCATCGACTGTGCCCACAACAGGAGCACCGCCAGCCACAGCGAATCGTGGACGAGACTTCCTATCACAGATGGCCAAACAGTTGCAACAAGAAAAGGGCTCTGAGAATACATCCAGCGACGAAAGTGAGGAGTTGTTGCCACTAAAAGGAGCTGATAGAAATACAAACGGCACGAGTGGTTCGATATCCACAAATGTTGCTCCAATATCGTCCCTAATGGGTCGTACAGCGTCCATCGTTCAACAAATATACTCAGATTCAGAGAGCCTCTCTGGCGGCGAAGTCGATAAGGACGAACGGGCCATGGAGAGTAATGTAAGCGATTCGCAAAACCAACAAACCATACGTACCAAGGCAGCACTTAAGGAGTTTACGTTGCAACAACAACAACAGTCATCCACAGCCTTAAGCAATCGTGGTAAGAAAGAGTCCGTCTCAAAGACTATAAACACACAAAGGACACTTGAGCGGAAGTCGGATCAAAAACAATCGTCAGGCGGCTTAAATAAAACATCAGTTGATGCTCAAAGTCGAGGTAAAAAGACTAGTGCGGCGGCGATCGAACGACAAAATAAGATAACGGCGGACTTACTGGTTGTACCGCAGCGACAGGCAGCGAAAAAGGCGTCGGAAAATATGCGTTCGACAGGTATTTACACGACTTCTACTGGGGCAGCGGTTGGAACGATGAATACCTTAACAATGTCAGATCGTGAAACGACCGAAAAGGCTAAAGAACAGCGCTCAGACAAAGAAAGTGAGAGGGTGAAGACAAAGGAATCTGGCATGAAGAACGAGGCTGATAAGGCTGACAAAACGCGTGCCAAAGATAAAACTCTTAGCAGTAGTGTGGGTAAGATTGCTGAAATCGACTCCAAAGAAAGAGAAAAGGAGAAGGATAGAAATAAAGATAGAGAAAGGGAACGAGTAACAGGAAAACGCGGACGGCCACCGAAGGTAAACCGCGATACTGAATCCGTTACTGTTCCAACATCAGCGCAGAAAGACAGCGAACAAGCCTCCAAAAACGAATACAACTCGCCGAATAGAGGCCGAAAGGATGAAAAGACTGCCAGTAAAACGGCCGATGTGCACAATACAAAATCGACTCATTTAGCTACAGAGAGGAGTACACGCCATTCTGTCGATCAAACGACGGTTGATGCTGGTAAATCAAGTGCTCCAACGACTCCTAAAACAAATGATCTGAAGGCGAATAACATTCTCGTAGCTTATGTGCCGCAGAGACAAGCTGCTAAAAAGGCTGCTGAGCAACTTAAAAGCAGTGGTAAACTTCCTGCCGTAAATGAAGCTATACCTGAAGAGAAGGAGCGATTAGAACGCAATGAGAAAGAAAGCAAATTGAGAACACCCGACGGTCGAAGTACCCGCATGCCGCCCATGCGACGAATGTCTATGCGAGAGAACACATCTCTCACTGCCAAAGAAGCCGTAACAACAGCAGTCAAGACACCCACAAGTAGTAGACGTCGCTCTAAAGATGCCTCTGTGGAAATATCGTCACAACAACAGCAACAGCAAACTCCTACCAAGAAGTCAACTGCGACCGCAGCGCTGTCAGAGTCCTCAAGTTCTGGTTCAGATGGTAGCAGTAGTTCATCCTCATCGGATGGCAGTAGTGACAGCGGAAGTAGCAGTGACTCCAGTGATGCCGAAAGTGAAGTGGCTGAAGAAGAAGAACGGCTTACGCGCGCAACTGCCGCCAACAAAAGATCACCACGTAAATCCATTGACAAGCCGCCTGCCGCGGCACGACAAAATTCATCTACGAATAATAACACTACCGGTGCGACAACTACGACCAAGTCGCCCAAAAGTTCTCCACAAAAGCAACTGCGACGCAATATCAGTCACACGAGTAATAGCAGTGGTAATGCCGTCACTGTTGAAGAGTCGGCAGCAGAAAATAAACAGCCGAAATCGACCAAACGTAAATTATCCTTGGATGATAAGAAGTCGGCGGTTAAACAAGTTTCAACAGATTTGGCTATTATTTTGGACGATGAGGAGGATGGTACTGCTTCGGCTCAACTGAATTCAATGTGTACTCGTGCAATGCGTCGATCAAAGTCCGGACCGTCGTCACCTCCTCATACGTTGCAATCAACTACTGATACAGATAAAAAGATAGAACAAAAGCTGCAATCAAAGTCACCGAAGTCAATACCGTTAACACATTCAGTCTCCTCAACTTCCGATCGCATATCCGAGAGTGATAGTGAAAAGAGTAAAACTGTTCTAACGTTAACCGAGGAAATAACGCAGCGAAAGGCTTCAAATAGCAATTCGAACAGCTCAAACGCTACAAGTCAACAGGGTAATACTAAAAATCAGAATAAAAATCAGGGTTCGTTGGACAAACTGTTAAATAAATTAGAACAAGAAGCAAGCAGAAGTTCCATGATTGGTGCATTGGATACTGGAGCAACGCTACCAGTCTCACTGTTACCAACAAATATTGTGGACGAAAAATCAGATGCCAAAGAAAGAATGTCAACGACAACACCAACGTCAATACAAACATCAATCATTGATGCAACACCCACAGTTCCACCTGAGCCTCCGAAGATTATAATTGATACGAAAAATGAAAGCGGTGAGGTACCAATGGATATTGATGAGGAGTTAACTACGGCACCGACACATACGACGCTACCATCGAGCAAGATTTGTGATTTGGAGGATATTGATGAACGGCCACCAGCAGCACCCATGCCTGCGTCGCCACCATCTCCAGCAACATCGGTGTCGGATGACGAACTCTCCAATGCATCGGATGAACGGAGCTCCGTTACTGGTGGTAGAAGACGACGACGACTACATAGAAGACATCGACGTACACGACCTGGAAGTCCGCCATTATCACCCGAAGAGGAACATACACATCATACGCAACACTTACTCAATGAGATGGAGCTGTTGCGGGAGCTTGAAGAGGAACGTAAAATGGCGGCTAATGCCAGCAAATACTCAGCGTCATCCTCATCGCCGGCAGTGGCCGTTATACCACCCGAACCGCCAGAAATTATTGAGTTGGATTCGAATTCAAATTCAACGGGTAGTGATCGACTGAAACAACAACAGCACCAACCATCACAAAATCTTCACCGACAAAAACAACAGACGCAGCAACAGGAGGAACAGCAAAAACAAGAAATAGGGGGACAAATTGCACAAACAACATCGGTACCACAAACACCTGCCTCGCCTTCGTCCTCACCTGCTTTGGTAGTTGACATATCTGGCGGAACACCGAACCAAAAATCGAATATCGAAGGCAACATTAGCATACCGCCAACACCTCTTAACATTTCATTACAAGAATCTCAGAACAATTTGGATGAAAATTCGCAAGGCACTACGAGCATAGCTGAGATGAATAGCGGTAATAGTCGACACCAACCCATTGTAGACACGATACTCGATATGGAAGACAATGTACATCAAAAGCAGCGGCAACAACAACAAAACGCATTTGCAAATGCTTTAATGAGTGCTGCTTCTTCATTTACGGCAAATGCGAACGCTGATTCAGTGCTGGATGAGCCGACTGATAGTCTTAGCCTTTTGGGCACATCAACTAAAGAACTAACGGAAGAAGATAGTTTTCTGGCTACTCGTAATTTGGTTGAAAAGCTGCGTAAGAAACGCATACGCACCGATGAGCCTAAGGAAGCCGACCTACTTAAGCCGCCTCCCACACCAGCCATACCCTCAGTATTTCCATTCCATAATGCTGCCGACCCCGAAGACATTATACATGTGCAAAAGGAGAATGCAGCAGCAGCAGCAGCAGCTGAAGCCGCAGCAGTAGCAGCGGCGGCCGCTGATGTAAGTAGTTGTCTATTCGCTGCTCATGGCAGTAAAGCCAACAGTGCATCGTTGTTGCCGCGCGACCAGTCAAATATTAATGAAGTGAAAGATACTAATGTTTTGGCTGCACCAACTGTCACATTGACACCCACTTCTAATGCATACAACCGAACGCCACACTCTGTGGCCACGACACCAAATGCAACACCGAATCCGAATGCTTCAATGGGCGCCATAAATAGTGTTGCAAGCGCCAATTTACCGAATACTAATAACAGCAATAATAACCTCGGTGCATTGACATTCTCCGAGCCGGTAGTGGGTTTCATGGACAAAAATGTCGCGTCTGATATATGCAATGTGCCAATTTCACCGTTACAACAACAGCAAACGCAACAGCAGCAGCAACAGCATGCGGGCAACTACGGACAGACACAACAAACACAGCCACAACCCCCGGATGTGGCGGAGATAACGTCGTTCCTCGAAAAGGAACTCGCGAACAAAGCAAACATCAAGGCTGGAGCTGTAAGTTGCTTCAACAAAATGCCAAACACCGCGGGAGGAAATGTTAATACGGTGCCTGGAGCGCCAGATTTTGTGGATTTGCATGCTGCTGCGACTGCCAAGGATAATATTGACTTCACCGGTTCTAACAGAGGTGTAGGTAACAACAAGTTAGTGGTTGATTGTGATTATGATGAGAATACTCGAATGCAATCGCCTTACGCGTTGCGCGCTACGCGGCTTTGGAATGAGAATGAAATGATCGCGGCACGACGCTCCTCATCGCCAAGTTCAGTTTCGGAATCTAATGACCAAACAAGCGCAATGGAAATGCAACAGCAACAACAACAGCAACATCAACAGCTGCAGCATCAGCAACAGCAAAAGCAAAACTTGCAACATTTGCAACAGGTGGGCCACTCCATGCAGCAACAACAACCACCGCCACCACCACATTTACAGTCTAAGGATTTGGTGGGTAACAATGCGCTTAATACTCAGGCAGCGGTAGCGCAAAATTGTAATAAGGGTTACTTCAATCGGGTTGACAGTTACGATATACCGTTTACACATACCCAACAGCAATCAGCGCAACAGCAGTCGCCTTTGGTCAATGGCATCGATTCGATAATGCGTTACAATCAAGGCTATAACCAACAGCAAACAACACCCACACACACGCCGCAACAGCAACAACGCCAGACCACACCGAATCAAGGTAATAATCAGTATAACGGCGGATCTGTCAACCTTTTTCACAATACTCCTGCGGCTATGCCAGTCATGAATCAAATGCCTTTTGTGCCCAATTCTTCCGTCGGAGCTATGTATCCAGCATCGACAAGTATGAGTGGCAATGTTGCGATGACAACAACTACTGCTCAGCAGCAGCAGCAGCAACAACAGCAACCATCTAACGACGTTGGTATGTACGGTATGCGAAGTAATGATCCTACCACCGCAGTTCCAAACACCGCTATGGCTGGTACCGCGTCGCAAACCCAATACGGTGGCGCTGCATTTACATCATCAACGCACAACTTGGCGCTAACAGCGGCCATAGTTGGTACACCAGGTGGCCCATCACTGTTGGATCATCATTCACCGCACCATCATCAGCATGCCATGCATGCCCAACAATCGGCGGTTTCGCAACAGCAACCACAAACTGCACAGTATGGTATGAGTGTGCCGTCAGATAACGCTGCCGCACCTGGCTTGTACAATCAAATGATGAGCACTTGCGCTGAAGCCATAATGCCCGTGTCGTCTTCGAATCAACACCAACAACAACAGCAACAGGCGCAAACAGCGCAAAACACATCACCCACAAAGGAGTCGCCGTCGAAGCGTTCGTCTTCACGATACAATCAGCAACAACAACAACAAACTCCACGTAATTCACACAAGTCTCCGCAAATTCAGCACAAATCACCTGGCAAATCGCCACGCCAAATGGAACTGCTCAGCAAGCAGTTACAAATGCAGCAACAACAGCAGACACAACAACAGCAACAAGCGCTGACTGAATACACAAACATTCCACAGAAGCCGCCACCGCCGCCACCTAAATATGATCCATTGACACATACGTTGGCGGGTAAACCACGGCAACGTGCACCACGTGGTACCGGCGCTGGTTCGCGCGGCCGTGGGCGTGGTCGTGGTCGAGGACGTGGCAGTAGCGCCGCCAACGCGGTTATACCGCTGCCACCGCAAATACAGCACGATGGTAATACTCATTATGTGAACAATTTGGTCGGTACGCCATTCGAATTCAATTATGATGAGGATCTGACAGCACCGGGCGTCGAGAACTTGCAATCGCTGCGCGATCGTCGACGTTCATTTGATGCTCGTTGCAATCAACAGGCGACATTATCCCATCCACACCAACAGACTACGCCCGATGCGCAAAAGTACACCAGTCCATCGGCGTATGGCAGTTGCAAAGTTCGCGGTGCTGGCGCCGGCGTAACAAACTCTGCTACCGCTAGTGGCTTGGTAAACTGCAACAACAGTAGTAGTGGCAGTCGTAGCACTTCGCATTTAGCAGACGCGCTTAAAGCGAACAATGCGAGCAGTTGTAATCACTCCAGTACACAGCAATCACTTTTACATTCCATTGTACAGCCTGTGCTGCCGGGTCCAGTGGACATGCGTACTTACAATGTTTACGAGGCATCCGCATCACAAGAAACATATAACAATAATTTGTTGAGCGACTTTGATTCTGGTGCTGCAGAGCAAACACTTCCTGAGTTCGATGAGGAGGATGAAAAGGAATTCCAGTCAGCGTTGCGTGCAACTGGTTCAACCATCTCCACAAAGCAATTAACACCAGCCTCAAGCGGCAATAATACAACAGCAGGCAACATTAGCGGCACCGTTGGTGCGACAGCGTCAAGTCTAATAGGAAACACGAACACTGTGTCGGCGTTGAATAATGTAAACGCTACTGGTAGTGGTCTCTCTAACACCTGTGCATCCTCCGTTATTTCGGATCTTATAATGCCAGCTGACTTGCAAACTTCAATGGAGACCACCTCCGAAGAGGTGTCTATCGATTCGGATACAACGCTCACAACAAAAGCTTCACTCTCCGATTCGCGTAATCAGCTTAAATTGAAAATCAAAGGACCGCTTGCATGTCCTGACGGCAGTTACAGTTACAATTCGTCGAGTACGTCGATAAGTGTACATACGACCAATATGACACAGGCAGCTGCCGGCATTGTGCAAACATCCGTCTCAATTCATAGCCAAATTTCGGCAGGCGTGGTTAGTGGTGCGTCTGCAAGTGGCGGTGGCAATAGTAGCAGCGGTGGCATGAACTCTCGACGCATGCGCAAAAAGGAGTTGCTCAGCCTGTATGTGGTGCAAAAGGACACCAATATGGATGATTCATCTGGAGGATTGCCACCTACTGACGTAGGACTGACAAATACCGTCGATAGTTTACGCAAGGGTGATGGCTTAGGTGGTACGCTTGATGAATACGGTAGTGAGTTGGGTCTGCAAGGAAGTTCGAAACGTTCTAAGAAAAATTCAGGACGCGAACTACGTTCAATGGATACAGGTAATGATTTGAATGATAGCAGCACAGTTTTGGGTAACGATGGACGTCGGCGTAGCGCTTGTTCATCCGGCAGCACTGATGAGCGTGTTGGAAAAACTGGCGCAGCATCAAGTGCTGGCAAGCGACGTGGACGCAGCAAAACGCTTGAGGGTTCTGAAGATGAGCGCCCACCGACACTGAAGATCACGATTCGTGGCTTAGCCGATGGTAGTGCGAGTGCAACGGCAATCAGTGGTAATTCGACCTACGATAATACTTATCAATATGATATGTCGCGCCGAATGGTTAGCTGTCCGCCTAAGAAACGTTTGACTACAAATTACACCCCGCCCACGTTAGAAGATTACCGTCGAGAGTCGATGAACTATCGCAAAATGGTCATGCAAGACTTCGGCGAAGACGATGAAGAACGCACACGACGTGGTGCTAGTAGTAGCTTATTAGATACCTCTGTATTGCCACCTGCTAAAAAACCAAAGTCTTCCAAACCGAAGAAAGAGAAAAAAGAGAAGCGACGTAAGGAGAAGCAAAATTCGCCAGCGTCTGGAATGAGTGATATGGGTATGGCAGCGACTGTTGTTGAGAATATGGCAAGTGCCTCACCAGGTGAACCACCAAAGTTGATTATACGCATAGGTAAACGAAAAGCAGAAGTGCCCGAAAATGCAGAACGATCCACCTCCGCTGAGGCTGCAGCCACACCACCAATGAACGCTGCGCCAATACGCTTGAAATTGGCGAGAGCCTCTGATGGTGGTGGTTATGTTATTGGTAACAAAAAGAAAAAGGAAAAGCGTATACCAACAACAACTTCCACTCCAACAATCACACCCGCTTCAACACCAGGTGGCAACACCAACACCAACCCATTGGCACCAACGACATTATCTTCAGCACACACCACGCCAACTACGAAAACCATAAGCGATTTCACCGGTGACGACTCAGCAAACTACAACTGCAATATTAGCCGCGATCGCGCAACACCGAATGCCGTCGATGTGCTAAATAATTTTGACACTGTCAACGTCGCAGGTGGCATTAGTAATCGCGAAGAAACCGATCCGCTTTCGTCAACGCCAAAAGAAGCGAGCACACCGTCTCCGCGTCTGGTCATCGACACGTGCAAAAGTGTTGATGTGCACGATTCCAACACGGCGAGCTCCCTGGCCGAAGCCATGTCCATAAGCACAGGTATTGGGGGTGAAATTGGTTTGCGTAGCGCTTTTGCGCCCATAGCACCACTTACCGTTAACTGTAACGAGCACAGTAGTGGCAACAGCAACAGCAACAGTCATAGCCATAGTGCCAGTAGTAGCAGTAGCGGTGCCAGTGCCAGTGGTAGTAGTATAAGCGGCGGTAGTCTAAACAGCAGCCACAATACAGCTAATAATGCTAACAACAACAACAACAATAGCAGCAGTAATAGTCACAATAATAATAATAATAATAATAACAACAACAACAACAACAATAATAATAACAACAGTAATAGTGGTTTACTTCCATTAAACAAAGACTGCGAAGTCAGATGATAATCACGAAATTGGTCCCCGCTCAAACATCAGCGATTTTAGTGGGCGCCATTAGTTATATATATATGTAGTTAGTTAGTAAACGAACAGAAAGTGGGCGCATGTGCAAAGTAATAAATATGGCTAAGCATTGAGAGCAGAAAAAACGCTCCGCGCGTAGCGAAACGTACAGGTTGAGTGTTGGAGCTTAATTCTTTTAATATTATTCAAAAATTTTATTTAGTATGTTTTTAGGAAAAAAAGTGCTGTATAATACGTCAGAATTTTATCAAACGAACAATAAGAATCACAACTAAACATCATTTTATTTTTATAAATTTTATTTAAAAAAATAAAATAAAAACGCATTTTAACGTGTATAACTTTTTAACTACTTGATTGGGACACACACACACACCACTCCCCGAGCCATGTTGTTTTTCATTAAATGTGCACAGCAAGTCAAATGCGCTTGGTTACACAACGTATGCATATAAATGCTTTAAAAGAAATTTGTCGTAAAAAATAGATACTGTATAAACACTATGTATATTTTTAGGTTGAATTATTTTATTAGAAAAATTATTTTTTATATTTATTGAAACAATTATTACATAAAGAAAGCGCGTGTCAGCTCGATTATGTGATGAGCGAAATTTTTTTTCTTTGTATTAAAATGTTCCGTAACATGTTATTCCGCAAGAAAAACATTGTACATTAAAACTTGTATATTATGCTCATATTTTGTTATAAATAATTCTATTTAAAGTCCAACATTTAGTTATATGCTGATTTTACACTCCGATAACTAAGTGGTTTAACCCAAAAAAAAAACTCAATTTAATAAAAATTTCTTGTTTTTTACATACTTGAACATTTCTATGAACAAAAATTGCCTTTTCTCGATTTGTACATTTCATTGCTTAAATTTAATAAAAAAATGTTTTTTAGTAAACTGATTTCGAGAAATGTTTGTAAGTTATGTTCATAAGTCGCATTGCAAACTTAGATTAGACTGAAAGATTTACTTGTTTGACTGAGGCGGCATAAAATAATGATCCTAATGTGCCCAATGCAGGTTCTACATAGTTTTAGTTTATTCTAATTTCCTTTGTGATAAGCAGCATACTGAGCGCTGAATGTCAGCGGTTTGGTTTTTTGCATGTTTAGTGTGTTGGCACAATCAATTACCACGTTTCACCGACGATTTCTTAGAATAAAAAATTTTAAATACCATTTGTATATTTTGGGTCCTAACGAAAGCTCCAATTTTAAACTAAATGACATAATGCGCAGTTGTAATATACATACATACACATACATAACATACATACAACACAAATAAAATATTTGTAAAATATTATAAATATAATTAGAAAAAAAGCATTGTTAAACAAAAGTCGCCGTCGTATTAGTTTAGAACAAAGGAAGGATCCCTTAGCAGTTAGTAAATAAAAAAAAATAAAAATAAAAAATAAATTAAACGAAAAAACAACTTAGTCCTTACAGTGCGTGCGTATGTTTGTATGATGTGTACACACCACCCAATTTGTAGATATGTAAGGCATGAGTTTAGCGTGGCAACATTAGTATGTTTTTATTTGTATTTTCAATTACTACATTTTTAATTTGTTTTAGATGTTTAAGTGAAAATAAAAACAATTATTATATAAAGAGTATCAATAAAATACTTATAACTGGCAAAATAAAAAATAAAAATCGTAAATACACACATACATTACATGAAAAGTTAGTATAATTAAAAAAAAAAAAAACAACAAAATCAAATAAGTGGAAAGTTAATGTTAATACAGTTGAGAATTAAATAATAAAATGCCAAAAAACCCGCAGTAAACTGAAATAAATATATGATATACATATAAATACAATTAATATATATACATATAGATATATATTAATACAGTGGTAATGTATGCAAATGGCATCGCAGAAATTAGTTTTAAACAAAAATAGAAACTTGATAATGCTGATGATTATTATTATTATATTAAATTTATTATTGTATTAAATTTAATTAATTGATTAACTGAAACTAATTAATTTTTAAGTAAAACAAGCAATTAAAATATTAAGAATAAACATATTCCAAAATTAATAAACACTTTCAATTGAACGTACTTATGTATATCCTATATACTACAATACGTTTGTGGGTAACGGGAAAGGTGTCTTGGTTAATTTTTTACGCATACATACATATGGATGTATTATATGTTGGTCTAAATGCTGAATAATTAGATTGTTGCAATGTTACTAAATCGGTTTAAAAGTCATTTTGTAATACAATTTAGGAGGACACAGAGTAGGTGTATTTTCCCAGTATCAACTTCTTCGTATGTTCTTTCTAAAATTGGGTAAGTCAACTTGGGAATTTTTATACATCGACCGAAATCTATTTTAAGATATTTTTTTTTTTGGAAAAAATCACAAAGTATCCATTTAATTTGTGCTAGCATTTTCTTGGAGTTACCTCTCTATTCATATCGTTTCAACCAACTTCGACTTCTCTTTGCCGAATTCGATTCGTCGCTATTCGCTTGCTTTGTCTGAGCTTTGTTCTTTTGAGCTTTTTTTGAAAAAAAAAGTTATTAAAATTAATACAAGATTGTATTTGGATGTCTTTTAAAGGTCTTATCATCTCCTTCTACACTTTCCGTATTTAATTATGACAGTTGCTTGTTCGATACACCACTCTCCAAATTTTGGCAAATCAAAGACAGGCAAGCAGACACACAGCAAAATTTGAGTTAAATATTAAGCACATTTTTGTCACAAATCCAATTAGTGGCGAACGAAGTAAATGAAAGGGAAGGAAATTGCAGTTATATTCATAAATGCAGCGTTATTTGTGTGTTAATATTAGTTGATGCCTGTAAATTCGTACAATCGTCAATTATCTTTATAGCGTTAACAATAGTAAGGGAATAGAGGAATTAATATTGTAGTAATTAGGCAAAGTAAGACTGACGACGGTGTTATCTGCTTGTCGTTCTGAAGCTCCTTAATACTCACAAATGTATGTATATTTGTACAAAACAGTGTAGTGGTTGTAAAATATATATTTAAAAAAAAAGATTGTACTATGCATGCGTACGTACATAACATACTATATAATGGCATAGTTGCACCCTTGAGATAACAGTTATAGTAGATAATATTAGAGAGAGACTACAAATAATGTATAAGTACATTTATGGATTTTTTATATAAAAAAAATGCAACAACAATACCGTTTGAAAATAATAGTATGCAGTTGGTTATCACTTAAGGGAAACGTTAGTGAAGGATGTCGAAATACTATAATTTTAACTTAATTTAAAAGTGAAATTTTAATGTACTGTAATTTACATTAAATGCAGTTCAAATAATTTCAAACGAATTAATGTTAATATGTATTAAAATATTATTACGTAATTTAACAATAAATAAGTCCAAAATATTTTGGTGGTACTCATATTTTCTAAATATTTTTTTTACATTGGCAGCTCTACTTAAAAAAAAATTTTTATGAGGATCAAATATGGTAGACGTTGATCTTACAAAAAATAAATATTTTTATTTATTTATACATATGTATATATATGTATAGTTTTGGCCCAAATTAATTTTGTAAATACATTAACAAGAGAACAGTAATATATTATAAAATAATTTTAATAAAAAAACTAAATAATTAAATTGTTATGAAAAGGGTCCTTAAGAGGGAAAAAACTCATTGCGCGAATTATATATGTACAACAGTAACTAATTTCCCGAAATACTTAAGATAATTATTAACAAAAAATCACATGCATTAACAACTCGTTAAAGAAAAAATATTAAGCTGATCGAAAAACCTCTAAAATATGCCTATAAATCTAATCAAGCAATTTGTATATTAAAACAGTATAATTTTTTTTTATATTTATTAGGTAAAAAGTTAAAAAATTAAATATAAAAAAAACTTCAACAATCAAATGGAAATTTTTATTACTTTAATATAAATATATGCATATGTAAATAAATATACATATGAACTTTTGGAAATGCTCGAGAGTCTTATATGACATTAACTGTGTACATAAGTGTTACGTAAATAAAAAGCAAAATGGAAATAAAAGTTAATTATTGAATATTACAATTAATAAATTTTTACATGCTATTTGTATAAAACTTTCAGCAAAACAAATGGAATTATAAAATATAAAAAATAAAAATGAAAAAATAAAATTACCTATTAAATAAAAATAAAATTAATGAAAACTATAAAATAAAACACGGCAAGAAATGGGCTAAAAATAAATATAACCTTACCATATCTATTTAATTAATTCAATGTACATATACACTCAGTATATGGATTTATATACATATATATATATATATGGATTGGTGCAAAATGGTTATACATAAAATGCTGTTAGCAATATTTAACATTTATTTTAGTGCGAAAATTGTATATATGTAGTTTTAGTAAAACTATGCTAAATAACATAGGTTAAACATAAAATTCTTCTAATAATATAGATCAATATGTTATTGACATTGATATTAACATAGTTATAAGCCTGAAACATCCAAATTATAAATGGAAAAATAGTATAAAAACGATTTAAATCGGACGAAGAGCGTGTACAGAAATTTAGTTTGTAATATAAATAGAAAATAGAATCATTTACGCATAAATATTAAAGCAAAAGTGGTTTAATTTGAAACGTGAGTTTATAGCATATCATGTTAAGTATAACTTGATTGAGAGATATTACATACTTGTAATAGTTCGGTGGGTAGTGTTTAATAACCTTAATGCTTGGATCTCTCTAATAGGCAGGAGGGATTTTAGTCGAGCTTATAGTAGCATACTAAACCCTTATTCCCTCTCTACCAAACCAAATCGATGAAATGTGTTTTCTAGATCAGTACAACGTTTTTTTCTACTACACGAAAGGTTTGTCTGACGATTTTTACCATGAAAAAAAAAATTGGAGAACTAGTTTGCTTGATATTTTGTGTTTATAATGGTATAACAGCTACGGGACCGATGAAAAAACAAGGCTTGAAACACGTCGTGTTGGCATCAGCTAGATAGCAGAGGCTCTCAACTTCTCTCATGTTTCATGTTTTTGGTATGAAGTGTGTTATTTAAAGTTTTTTTTTGTTAGATATGCAAATACTAGAAAATAGTAGAGACTATTTTGTTTATAATATGAATACTGTCATAAATATATCAGTTGAGTATTATACATGGATATTACTCGATAGATCGATACATATGTATGTTGATTAAAATACTATTAATTACTTATAATTATCAAAAAGAAGGTAACACCTGATATTCTGTAGCCAAATTAGCAAATAAAAAAAAGCCAGGAGAATTCCTTACCTTAATTGTTTCAGTATTGTGAGCCTAATCCCAATCCCGGACACTGTGGACTTTGGACTATAAAAAATGCAGCACCAAACTCATAATTGTATGTGTACGTATGTATATACATTTATTTATATATTAATCTCATTTTTCATTTTCTTTATTTTTTACAATATATATTATTTGTATATTGTACATATATATTTTTTAGTTGTTTATGTAATAATAATACTTATGCATGTAACTGATTTTTATTTATCGAAACTTTGAGTGTAACATACACGTAAGTATTGTATGTATGTTAGTAAATATATATGTGTATATGTATGTTTATGTGTGCTTTTGTTTTGTTCTTTATTGTTTTTCACAGAAGAAATTTTCGTTTATTGACTTAATCAAAAATATGTAGTTATGTAAGTATGTATGCATGTAATTGTATATACTTTTTATAATTTAGTTGATTTAAATTAAATCGCTTTTCCTTTCTACAAATATCAACAAATTAGACTTACAATCTTCAAATCTTTCGAAAGCTATTCTTTATTTGTTTTTACGTCACCAACAATTCTGGTGAACTTTAGATACATATGTATGTAAGCTTTTTGTGTGTACGTGTTTGTGCATTTGATAGCAAGGAAATCAAGTTGAGCTACACATTTGCTAAAATAAATGCTTAGATGTAAAGATTTTAAATTGAGAATTCAAAATAAATAAACTAAATTAAATTTTAATAGTTTAAAGAATAAAAAGTAATTCTTTGGAGATTGTTTCATATACGAATATATAGGAAGAAACAATTAAAAATTAACATAAATGGTGTGCAATGAATGAAGAAGAACTCATGAAAGTGTCCTATCTTAAAAAAAGTTTTTGAAAATTCTTAAAAAATCCAAAAAAAATATTTATATAACATAATTGCTGCATTCCATATTCCTTATTTGTGTAATGGAAAAAATATTTTGAATATTTTTAAGTTCATTTTATTTCTTTTTTTATTTAATCTGCTATAACTGTAATTATTTCATATGCATATATAAATATAATTTTTTGTTGTTTTTGAATTTTCTCTTTTTTTATGTATTAACATTTATGCTTTTTTGGGGTTTTAACAGTACTAGCTCTTCGAAAACTTTTGATTGCTATTGTTTAGTGTTAATTGAGTCTTTGAAAATGCGTGTAGTATATTTAAGAATAATGTGCTTTTCGAAAAAAATCGACAATTCATTATGTATCTTAAGTTTGCTTAAAAAAATAGATTTTCTCACAAGGTCGCTCCACTGTTCCTTTCTTAAACATTAAATACATTGAAATTGTTTTTCAATACCTTTCACTTTTCATTCATTTTTAAAGCGCGCATCCCGACATATTTCTCCAACTTTTATCTCTCCCAATTTCTAAACTATTTACACTTTTTTGAGTTAACCAAAACTATAAACATTTTTAAAAACGTTCATTTTGACTAAATAAATAAGCATAATTCTTATACCCTTAAATTTTTTTTTTGAAAAAACAAAAAAATGTTTTTAAAAAAGTATATTTGTTGTAAAAAGCGATTTTGATTTTCATATAATATATATGTATTTATATTGCAAAAATATTTATTAACCGATTTTCAATTAACATCTTAAGTAGAAATTGGAAGCTTAAAACTAATCATAGTCAGTAAGAACTTATAAACATATATTAACACACATATTTATATTTATTTGCTTATTTATTATAAATTAGTTTAAAGTTGAATAAATGTACAACTTATTGAATATTTATATAGTAATTAATGAAATGAGCTAATAAATTTTTAACATAACCACGGACGGTAATGATTGCGAGGGGAAAAATTAGAACTTAATTTAAATATAATTATAATGAATGTTTTTTGTTTTTTTTTGTTTGTATTCCAGAAAAATGTAATTTCTGGCTTTCTCTTCACTGCTTACGCTGATAGACCTGTGCAGAAACCTAATAAAAATTTAATGAAATTCATTGAAAACGTAAGAAAAAATAACAAGAATAAAAGGAAAAATAATTTACGTGCGATCTGAGGTCGCGAAAATTTAACATACAAGTAGTAATGTATATATATATTTTTCTTTCATCAGAAAATAGAGATTAAAAAAAAAATCAAAAAAATTGACATGAGAAATTTTGATTGAAAATTAGGGGCTTTTTTAATTTTAAGTCGAAATAAGGTTTTTTCCTTAATATTTTAAATTAAAAAATGCAGCGTGTTTGGGACATGTGAATGTACGTTTACACCAAATTTCGTGAAAGAAAAACATTTTTTGCTCGAAAACTTGCGTATTTGAATTTTTCACATAAATTTTGAGGTTATGTGAAAAAGGGGAGGGGGAATTTTTTTCATTTCCACATAATTCTTTTTCTATAAAACTCGTAGTTTTGCCTGAAATCGAGTTAAACCGTTTTTAACACTTAGAAATTCAACCACGCCCCTCCTTTTCCTATGCCCGACCTCCGATCGCCCGTGAATTGTTTTTACTCTAATTTTTGTTATATTATCTTTTGTTTCGAATTCTATGTCTATTATAAATTGATGGAATTTTTTGTTGAGTATCATACTCGTATACATATTTGGCAAATTCAGTCGAAGAAAATTTCGCTCTTGATACTCCAGCGTAGAGAGAAAAAATTGAAAAGTAATGAATTATTTGAAGTAGAAGTTTAACTGCAGGCCATTCGTTTTTATGGAATACAAATTAATTTTGAATTTAAAACTGCACATAATGGTAATAAATATTCATATAAAAATTATATGTTCTTAATTATTATTATCTATATAATTCTTATAAAATTAATTTAAAAAAGAATTGCCGTGATGTAATTATTTTGCATATACATATGCTTGATTATATTTTTGCAAATTACCGGAAATCATCAATGCTTTAACTTTTTTCACATAACCCTACTTCTTCAACTGCAAATCTAAAAAGCTATTTGGATGATTACAATGGGCGAAGTGTTTTCACAAATACTTCTGACTTTAACAACTAAACGACTATTGCTAATTATTCTCCTAAGTAATTGTGGTTGCTCAATTAATTTGGAATAATTTTAAACTCTATATATTTGTTTATGTTTTACTTGCACTTTCTTTCTTCTTTAAATAAACACAAACTTGAGTGTACATATCACTCGTTAAGAGTATTCATCTCATACTTGTTGAATACAACATTTTTCATTTAAATTGTGTTAACGTGTTTTTGGGGAAAATAAGCGTAAACCACAAACCAGCAATAGCAATATCCATGCAGTAGCACAGCGCATCCATTTTATGAACCAGTCAATACTAGTCAATACGAGCAACTTGAAGCTTACTCAATGTATATATCTTCAATCGGATATGCTGTTTCTATGAATTTCTGATAGAAACGTTGAAATGCACGGCTGCAAAAGTAATCAAGAAGAAATAAATAAAAACGATTTTTTAATCAACTGAAAAATAAATGAAAATAACTTACCCCACGGCTTCGGCTACGGGTCGTGTAGACTCAGATCCCTTGAAAACATGGCATGCGAAACGTTGCACCGTTGGATGCTTCGTTATGAAGCCAATAAAGCGATGATCACGTGGATGAAATGCACAGAATGAGACATTCTTTAGTGAGTAGAAGTAATCGATGCAGGGTTTCTTGTCCTTCTTCTGTAAGTAAACAACAAAATCACCACAGTTACGTACGTACGTTTTTAAATTTTCTACACTTGCTACATCCAACAACTCACATTTGGTCCCGAACGGTCTACCATGCGTAAGCCCTGATCGGACACCTCCAGTATGCACACTTGACCAGCTGGTGAATTTCCATATTCACCAACAATCTTACGCACTGCTTGGCACACAACACCGGTTCCCTTGTGAGCTAATGTCTCTACCGAACCCAAGTAACCGAGCAAATAACGCTCTTTCTTCACCTGTTGCACCGTCGGATCGAATTCATTGTAATCCAAATCAACCGCATAGGCTGAGGGGAAAATACCTTGCCGACCAGTACGCAGATTTACACCCTCACACCAAAGATCGTCAGCCTCCTTTTGTACGTAAATAGCATCGCCGATTTCAATTTCGATTTCATCATGATGACGTGGTATAAATTTGTGTAAGCCACGATGTGTAGCTTCAAGTATTTCGAGTTGGGAGAAGGGCACACCACCGAATGGCTGAGGAAATGGTGATTGCGAAACGGGGGAAGTGATTTGTGGTGACATACTTTTGAAATCAGTTGGGGAATGTGCAGTGCTGTGACCACTATCCACATCGCCCAAACTCTGTAAACGTTCGGAATCTGGACTAGAGTCCTCATCAAGTAGATAACCACATTTGAGTGTCAAAAATGAGCGTTGATTATTTCTTACTGTGGTGCCACCATTTAAACCATTCGTATTGCCGTTAATTGTATTGCCAGTGATGGCGTTGTTGTTGTCATTCAATTGATTACGCCCATTGTTCATTTCGTCAGCCAATGTAGTTTGCCCATATCCACCACCTAAAAGATGTAGAATGGAAGCTGCAACGAATGCGTTCGAGGAGCACATTAAAAACTCACTACAAATAACAAACGTCTCCAATTGGTGCAAATGATAGTCGATGCAAATTTTGTTGTAATGAAATGAAAAATGTTTACGCAACAAATGGCTATAATGTGTGGTGGGTATTAATACATTACACAGAGGTAAAATCTTTGGTCCCAAGTCGTTTCCTAATGATCATACTTTGATCAATTTTTTAGTGAAATTGTTGAGACTTGAATCTTGTGTCGGTCTTATACATTTTCATTTCGAGTATGAATCATGTACTTGGCACGAGATTCTAAAATACCAGGTTAGAGTGGTTTTTACCATCCATCTTTTCACCATGTGGTAGTGGTAAGCAATATTGCATCGACGGTCCTTTATGGATCTTAAATGCTCCCTTTATTGGAATTACAAAACGTTGAATCATAAAACTGGCTAAGAAAGTTTTTCGTATAAAAGGAAACGTGAATAAAATAATGATATGAATGAGTGACCATCCATCGGTCCATACAGTTCATCAAATGGTGACCCTCCAGTGCGTAGGTAGCGAATAAATGTATTGAGTAGAAGTTTCCAAAGTTTAAAAAGTAACATTTTACAATTATGACTTTGGATTTCTGAAATCGCACACAGAAAAATCTCTAAACGGAAGGTTAAAATTATGGAAAGCGGCCGTCTCTTGGCTAGATGATTTTCGTAGAAATCTATACTTTGATTTTGTAAAATGCTCAACAATATTCCAGAATTTAAAGCAGAAGTAAATATCTAGAAAAAAGTATTTTTATTGAGTAAGCCACGTTAGTGTTAGTGCAATGGGGGGATTACAACCTAACAATGTTTAAAAGAATCATAAACCTCCCCATAGACATTCCGTCTAATAGTAGGCTTCTACACTAGGCATTGCAGACTCAAAAAAGCACCTGTCCAAAATGGGCATAGCCTCTTTTGTTGCCAGTTTTGCGACATGGAGTCGCACAGCAATCTGTAGACGCGGGGCCCATATATCCGCAGATGCATCACATCACCTCAATAATTCCCAGCAAGTTTCTGGAATTCATCAGAAGGCTGGGCCTTTAGGAGTACGTGTGGTAGGGAGAGGGCAAAATGGATCTTGGTCCACACACCAAGTGCCAACCTCAACTTAATTCTATTCTATTTTAGTGTTAGTATTTTTATGTTGGAGTATTTACATGTCAACTACTAATTTAAACTACAAATTCAAAGTACACAAACAGGCAACAAGCAATATAACAGTAAAAAACGAATGATCATTATATACATTTGTTTGTATGTATGTATGTATGTACAAATGACGCTACTACTCACAACTTACATTTCTTATTCTTTGGTATTTCCGGTAATTTTCGTCGACGTCGTTGTTGCTGCTGGGTTGCACCAATTGCAGCAGCTGTATTGGGAGAAAGTAATAATTGCGAACCAATTACGCAATCGGTGCCGGTTGTATTACCCGTGCCAGCACCTGTACCAATGCCAACCAGACCACCAATTGCATCCTGATGATTCAACGGATGATGTCGGTGTGAGTTGAAGGAGTCATTTGTGTCCAACGATCCATCCGAAGAGAGTGATACTACCTTGAGACTGTCACCGATTTCATCATCCTCTACTTGACGCTGCAATTTTATTGTTTCACAGCAAAGATCTCCACCGCCGGCATCTTCTTGATCAGAGGCATCACTTTTCGAAGATGGTGAGTCCTCGAGGTCGTCGTTGGGTATTAAGCTATAGAAGTGAAGACATATAAGTGTAGTCGTATACTTTTCAAGGAAAATCGACAAAGTAATTCATGCAGTTTACAGTTATGTAGGCATGTAATCAATGCGAATGCCGGTAAGTTGGGCATGATTTTTAGAGTTGCTTCTTAGAAATTATTTAGTACAATTGATTTTTCACACACGGAAGACACGCACTGAGACAAGCACATATGCAAATGAACACACATACACACATAAGACGTGAACGATGCAAAAATATGTCAAAACACTGCACACATACGCACACGCACACCTCAAACGCGGATGAGTCGTGCTATTTAAGCTGCACTTGTGGGGAGCTATCAAGTGCCACGCTATGGGATGATCCACACATCCGCTAGCACTTATAATCATAAACTTTTGTTTGCTGGATAGAACTACTTACGAATAGAATGTATGGGCGTTATTTTTCTTTTGGCCCGGGCTCATATAGGTTTGTATTTGATGTGGCTCAAAGATGGGCCTGTGGAACTCCTCGAATTCGCTGTCTGCCATGATGCTACGACGTTGCTCCTCTACGCTGTCTGTCTCTATTAATATTATGTACTTCTCCTTGCTAGTGTGGGTCTGTGTGTGTGTGTGCGGGCCTGAGTCGTTTGCTGAATACCAGATGCCGTAATTCAATAAATTTTTTACACTTTAAACACTCACAAATACAGCACACCAGCTATATTAGCACACATTTGTATCGTTGTATTTTCGATAGTTTAAATTCTGCACAACGTTTTTGTAGAATAATTGAAGTAATTAAATGAATTTTTGCGAAAAAACGATTTGTGTGCCCTCTTTGCCAAAGCAAATCAGGCGTCGAATGACTTTTTCACTCTTCGATCGATAATTTCCTTTTCGCTTTTGTTGGCTTGTCGCTCGGCTGATTTGGCTTCCACTTCGTTTGGGTCGCAGCAAATGTCCATGGCAGAGACGGTGAGCGCCTTGGAAGTGACTTTGATGACTAAATTCTAGCGGGGGGTGTCGCAACAACAGCGGCGGATGGCCGTACGCACTGCTGTACTCAGAGCAGTAAAGGGAAATTTAACTGTCAAACCGTTAAATTGGGTCTGAATAAAGAGCAAGAGATTTGGGCGGTGAGGCGGGTGGTGCAATTCTACTCATGCGTCCTGTTGTGTGTTCAGGTTTTTGCGTTGCTGTTTTTTGTTTACAACAGCAGTGGCACCACATCTCCCGCTCTTGGTATGACATGTGTTCCGCTGTTTGAGGGTTGTTTGGGGATGATTTGGGAAATTTAAGTGTCACTTTTGCAGAAGCTTGAGAGTGCGATAAGCAAGTAACTGAGTCGGTTCATGCCACATTTGGGCTCTGTTTACAACAATGAAGAGACTAACTTACGAAATAATTGAGCAAAAAATGTCAAATTGTGCTGGCAAGCGAGCATGCGCAATGTAGAGTATAGTACAGCCCTTCGTGTATTAAAATGACAGTTGCATTGAATGAATGTCATTCTAATTATAACAGTTAATAACATTATTTGGCGTATTCGTAGCAATTAGGGCTCTTTTATTTGTGACTTAATTGAGTCAAAATTTAAGTTATCTGAAAGTGTTACTTTTTTTATTTATTACAGCAAATGTTATAACCTTGATTTTCATTGAAAAATATTTTATTATTTATAAATTGTACATTTTTATAACCTGAATGTATAATAAGTTTGCCACGAATACCCAAAACGAAACGTTTTTGAGATATCTCTTTATATATTTCTCTCTATATTTTTTTATTTGACAAGATATCTTAACGAAATTTGACATCGATTATTGCCCAAGACAACGATAAAATCTCCGAAAAATTGTTTAGATCGCCCAAGTATAGCAAATGTTTTTTGTTGTTTTATTACTTATGTATTTATAAGAATCAAATGTGAGTATTAATATTTGTTAAATTTTACAACTATTTATCGAAATAATATTAAAAATTTAATTAAGTAATTAACACAGTAATCATTTATTCAATGATTCTAGTCAAGCATTTTTATAGAATACTCTTAAAGATATTATATAATATATATCCCTTCTCAAGACACCTTTCTCAGTCCTCCGAACACATTCGTGCTAAAATTTACTTCACTTTCCACACATTTTCACCTTGTCGAATGCTCAAATGGATTTTGGGATCTGAAGTCACCTTTTTAGATTTTAGATTTTGAGAAACCACTATCCACTTTGAAAATGTGAGGGAAATTGTGCTATAAAATTGTCCAATTCGAATTAACAACTCTTATGGATCAAATTAGATCGGTGATTTCTTTGAGCAGAAGTTACAGAAAACATTATTATAAACAAAACAAACAAAGGCAATCTCTCAGTTCTCTTATACGGTAGGCTTGGTCCTCTGCGTTCCCAAGATACCCATTCCCAAGGCTCAAATATCAGCTCCAAAGTATGTGACTTGAGTACTTTGAGGCTTCAAGAAGGTATTTAGGCCTGAGGTTTCTAAAAAAATCATTTGATTTATTATAAAAGATTTATAAACATTTTGGAAGATTTTTGTAATCAAGATAGTATAGAAATAAGCGAATTTGCAGAGAGTCTAGAGTTTTAAGTCCAGTTTAAGGTTGATCAGGTGATTTGATGAGCTTAAAATATAAAGATAAACTTTCCATTTACGATATAACGATTAACTATGTATATCAATTTATGAAAACTAATAAATATGTAATATCATCCAAGTAATTGTCTGTGACTTGTTGATTCAAGCTCACAGAAACTTTTAATTTGATTGAATCGAAGACTGAGCTCTTGCCGTGTTTTCATACGTATTTGAAGCAATAAATAGCATATGTACATATGTATGTGTGTATGCAAATAAATCAATTACTATACAATTCGAGTGTTCCATTCATATTTGGCTATGCTGGTGAAATCCTTCCAACTTACTCACTTACAAGCACTCATGCTACATACATACTTACATATGCGGGTTATATAAATACTTGTATTGCAGCACGAGGGTGCTTGGCTGAGGATAAGATAATGTTACATCAAATTGTGTATTTCATATTCATGTTGTCTACGCATCCATTACTCATTTCATATATACATAGAACGAAATTAGATGAAATTATGTAAGTGATGGTGGCGGAGAATCCGGCGAAATACTGTAACTTAGAATTATGCAAAAATTGCTTAAGATATAACACAGTTAGTATAAACATATCTGCATATGCATGTGTATGTATACTTTTACAAACAGATATATATGTGTGTATGTGTTCTCATATGCGCTTTTAACAAAATCGAATAATATAAATCCCCTTGAGTGCGCCTATAAATGGTTTGCTCGACAAATAAACGTTTTATTCACTGACACACAATTACTAGCAATCACTGAATGACGATTTAAAAGGCAAAAAATATAAATAAAGAATAATAAAAATAAATTATGTACAACAAAAGAATTAAACTGTTTAAAAAGCACATAATGCTGCGCGGCTTCAACTCCTCGGAGGAAACTTACTGTTGAATGCAACAGAAAAGGAAGACCAACCCAAGCAGACCGAAAGGATGTCTTGCGAACAAGGTTAAGTGTAAGCCTTTGTATTCCGCTATGCTTTACATACATACACACGTACACACACATAGACACACATATAGTTACCACCGTTGCGTGGAGAAAAATGTCAGTTTATCATTTAGTCGGTCATTTATTAAGTCCGTCTCTCTGTCAATAGTCGATGGCAGGCAGCGCAAACGATTTTCACACACCTACATACATATGTACATCAATTGTATGTTGTCCAATGCTTTCGTATGCGCATATTTTAATAGTAAGCAGCTAGTTTTATTTTTACATTTCCAAACACTTTCTCACAATTGATTTCCCACCTACATCTGCACCGCCTACCGCAGGACCTGGAAGAGCGTGATGTCGCCACTAACCGAAGGATAGACCATCTTCACGCATTCGCTTTCACTTTACTTTGATGGTGAACTTGAAAGCAGCGCATCTCACGTCACGCGGGGGGAAGGTAAACATCTTGAGTCGTTTAACAAATAAAAGCACTCTGACTATTATCAACGATTTATTGCGGTTTATTTAGTGAGAGCGAGCAAATGGAAGCGCAATGTTAAGTGTGGCTACTTGAGGATACATTTGATGATTTGTTAACGATAGTTGGCAAGGAAGACGGAGATTTTTTTGATTAAAGTAGTTATTTTCGTTCTCTTATAGTATGTACGGTTCAAAAACATTTTAAAATCTTCTAACAGATCGTATTTTTTACTTTAAGAATATACTGAAATATAATAATCTTGAGAAATAAATAGCTTTATCAGGGGCGTTTTGAGACACTCCTTTATTACGTACTGGAGCTTAGTAGCCACAGCGTTGATTATATAAAAATGGATCTTTATTTTGCATTAAACTTCGATCTTAAAAATTGTGGAAGATATGGTAATTGAAAGTGGTTGGCGCCAAGCAAGCTGACCTTTTACCGCGAACTTTAAACGGTGTTTTTTCGAAACAATGTGCTTCAAATTGGTTTAAGCGATTACGGAAAAATACTACTCTACTAATAAATGTTAGACAATTTTTAATCGGAAAATATTATTGACAAATTTTGCTAAAAAAGCCAAATTTTGTTTTGAAGTTTCATTTTCATAGTTAATTAAATATAAAGTCTTAAGAAAGTCTCACAAAAATGAAAAGAAGCTTCAACTAACCCAATAGAGGGCTTTATGTTAACAAACCAATTAGAAATTTATAAAAATTAAAAATTAAAAAAAAAAACTATTATACTCTGTAGCAACATGTTGCGAGAGTATAAAAATTACGAATCCATCATCTCAAAAAGAGTAATACAAAGACTAGCGCTAAATATTATACCTAATAAGGCTTGTGTATTACCTTTATCTCTATATATGTATTGTGGCACGATGAATCAATAATCAAATCACGTGACTACATTTGTTGTTCCATTCAAACAACTATACATTGGTGTTTACTAAAAATAGTATAAGTATCTGAAGTGCAAAAGATTACAATTTATGTTGATAATAGAGAATATAAATACCTCAGTCTTTGGTTAGTGTGTACCAATAGTAAGTTATATACTATGTAGTATATTCAATGCACCGGTACTAAGAAATATATAATAATATTTTATATAATAAAAAATTGCATAATATTTGATTCGATCTTGCTCTGCCTCTCTCTCTATAGAATTCTTACATAATTAAGACTTTACAAAGATTAATAATATTATATAACTGTGAAGGCATAAGCAACAGGTCAAATATTCTTATAATCCCGTTCTTCCGAGTGTATTGTTTTCATTAAAAAAGAAGATTTATTGGACTTGCAGAGCATTTGTCTGATAAGAATAAGCACATATCTTCAATGGGAAAAGTCTAAGTCTCTTAAGGCAAACATCCAGCATAGTTGCAATTTTTTATTAAAATGAAATGAAAAAAGTGTATAATGATGTGGTCCACTCAAAATTGGTATAAATGACATAAAGAACAATTAGGCAAATCATATTTTACTGGGATAAATAGTTCTGACATATTAAATTGTCGGTGTATCCCATAATCTAAATACATTTTGGCAACTAACGACTTCCTTTGTTTCTCTCTTTCTTTTGTTTATTGTTAATATGTTTTGACACTGAAAAACAGGTAATATCGAATAATTTTTTAAATTTCTAGCATTTAAAGAGACTGCAACACTAATTATCATTATTAATTCACAGTTGAAAATCAGCACAAAATTACAATCGTTTCAAAAACGAATGCGGTGAAATGTATTTAATGAATGTGGGCTTAACTCTTCAATATGTATGTACCTATGTATGTAAATGAACCAACATACTTGATATAAGGAATTAAAGATTGCAAAGGGATAAAAACGAAACAACAAAACAGTTGAGCAACGACAAAGTTTCCTTTTCATTGAAATTAAATGAGTCGAGACTGTTTTTTGTTATTTTGGTTTTTGCTAACTCACGCAACTTCGCAAAGGCCAACAATTTTACGTCATCCACCAATAGATAGTGTCAGCTGGAACAAGCTTCTAGGCTTCCTCTTGTCAGTGTTTCTTGTGGCAAGTCGAGTATGCCCTCCTGACTGTGTCATGATTTGGCCAATCAAATCTAGCAAACGACAAACGTATGAACACGCATTGTGCAAACACCGTTGTACGCCAGTGCGATAGAGGGAGAGTTAGGAGGAGCATGCTCATACATACAGCAGGCAGTACAAAAACTTAAGCACGCCAACTTGCCACTTGTAGAGCATTTGCCACTGTAGACACTCACTTGTTGCTGCCACCATTGAAGCCGGGAAGCGGTGGGTGGACGAAGAACTGAATGTGTAAATATCAGTTGCAATCTTTATATCCTAGTAAATGTAACTTCACGCATACGCATGTTTGTATGTTAGTACGCACGACTATCGCGCCTCGGTGTGTGTGTGAGACAAGTTGAATATTTTGACGATACTGCTGGTAGGAAGGCAGCAGGGGCAAATGCTAATACTAGCAGAACAGTTTGTAGTTGAAGGTAAAGTGAAAGTTCGGGGATATAGTCAATCATTATTCTGCTGCCCATATGTAGGCTATAAAAGCGCTTTGCACAGCTTGTGGATCTTGCAGTATCCTTTCGGAAATCGGTCCGCCGAGTTGTGTGGAAAGCGCGTATTCGCTTAGAGCAACAAGCGATTTTAATTTAATTTCTACTTTCTTCAAATTCATTGTGAAGTTTTAAAATAATTGTGTATACAAAAATTTATATAAACTTTAGTAAAATGAGCGCTTCTGGTAAAAGTTTGCTGGGTCTTTGGCTCTATCGTAGTGGCGAACAGGAGTGGGCTGTGAAACAAGGTAGTCCGCTACACACGCTACGCAAAGAACAGCGCAGTCTAGTAAGCGTTTTCCATTTCTAAATTTAAAGCTTCAAAGGCTGTTAACAAAATTTCATTAAAAAAAAACGTTTTAGGATACCTCGAATTCCGGGAGCGGCAGTGAAAAAGGTAGTATTGATTTGAGCGATTCGAACCGCCAAAGCTCACCGGGCGATCGAGTCTCCATAATTTTCACCTTAAAGAATCAAGTTGGAAATTTAGCTAGAGCATTGCAAGTTTTTCAAGAACTGGGCATTAATGTTCTACATTTGGAATTATCTCCGTTGGAGAAGGCCACCGATCAGGTGAGTTTGGCGATTGAAACTGCAAAGTGTGTAACCAAGAAGATAAATTAAATTAATTAAAAAATAAAAATTAAAAATGAAAAATGTAAAAAAAAAATTAAAATGAAAGTACGAAATTCTGTTAACTCCAAAATTCGTTAAAACAAGTTATTAATCGTTTTATAATATATAAATATTTTATTTTTTTATTTTTGAGTTTTTAAAAAAATTAAATTTTTTTTGTTTTTAATGGAACTTACATTGTAAAAAAAATATGCAAAAACAAAAAAACTCAGAAAATTATTTGAATAATTTTTTCAGTTAATTGCAAAAAAATCAAGTCAAATTTTAAACAAATGTACAATGAATATAAAATTGATATTCTCTGAAAAATGAGAAATCAAATTATTAGAAATTTTTCTAATCTTTAATTGTTGCCTTAATCAATATGAAATATGAATGTAAAAGCTCTTTAAAACACGAGTATATTAGACCAGTGCGGAAGCATTTGAAAATGGTAAAAAGTGAAAGAGCTTGATAGTAGAAATTCATTGTAGAAAATTTGGGTTATTTAAAAAGGCCTCCTGCTTGATATTTTAAATAAATAAAAAATATCGTGTTTTGGGACATAAGAATTTAAGTTTACACTAAGTTTCGTGAAAGAACATTTTTTTGTACAAGAAAAAAACAACCCAAAAACTTGAATATTTGAATTAATTTAGAGGTTATGTGAAAAAGGTGTGTACACAAAAGACTTAGACATTATTACTTACAACTAAGCTGTATAAATTTTTTTTATAAGACTCGAAGTTTTGCCGAAAATCGGAATAAACGGTTTTTAGCCCTTAAAAATTCAACCACGCCCTTCCTCTTCCTCTTCCTGACTTCATATAGCCCTAAATTATTCTTCCTTTCATTTTTGTTATAAAATCTTTCGTTTCTAATGGGATTAATCCTATTATAATTTTTTTGCTTTCAAAAATTATCTGTCCTGGTCTATTCGAAATCTTCTTTATAATTTTAGACCTCGAAAACTATTGAGGTTTGAAATTTTTCCTGTTAGAAAAAAAAATCGGATGATATAAATTTGTTTCATATTTCGAGATTTTTTTAATGCCATTAAACTGAATAAAAATAAATAAAAAATATATTATATATTGATAAAACAACACATAAGAAATTTATAAAAAATATAAAATCTTAAAATTTAAATATATTTGAAAAATGATGTATATGAAAATTAAATGGTAATGTGGGTGTAAATCGCATGCTTTTTCTTATGAAAATATTTATTGATTTGCGATTTTCTGCATATTTTTGTGATCAATATTTATAATGTTCGTTTAGAAATAGAATACATTTTTATTAAAAAATCTCTTAAATCTTATAGTATTGATTTACAAAAAAAAAATATTACAATATTTTAAGGAAAAAACTATGTTTACCTTTACAAGTTCTCAAATACAAAATGGAATTAAACATTGAGTGCTTAAAATTCGATTATATACTCGTAATATTTTGTTACATAAAGGCTGATGTTCTGGTCGATGTAGAATGCGATGCCCGACGTTTGGATAAAGTACTGCAAATGTTAAACCGCGAGGTGCAGTCTGTAAATTACACCACTATACATCCGATGTCCCGAGCGCCATCTTTATCAGCCTGTTCCAGTTTTGGTAGGATACAAAGCTTCTATTTAAATACTTATAATATAATTTACTCTCCACACTTTGCTAGACTTTGGAGAAATGGTCTGGTTTCCACGCAAAATTTCCGATTTGGATAAAGCACAAAATGTGCTCATGTACGGCTCCGAACTGGATGCTGACCACCCAGGCTTCAAAGATCCTGTCTATCGCAAACGTCGTGAGACATTTTCCGGTATTGCTAACAACTACAAAAAGTAAGTTCGTAAAAACATTGATTTTAACTTTACTTTAAACCTTATTTTCGCTTGATGATTCAAACAAAATCAATAGTGGCCATACCATACCACGTGTGACCTACACACCGGAGGAGATAAAAACTTGGTAAGTGTTTGTTGTTGTGTTAACTTCACCTACCACAAAGTGTACATAGTACGAGTTTAAGTTTATGCGTGATGTAATAGTAGATAAATGTGGATATGTAAAACTATTATTCAACTTTATTGGTGCTCAATTATCTCAATTCAGGGGCACCGTTTTCCGTGAACTTCATCGTCTCTATATTAAGCACGCAGTGCCGGAGTACATGGAAAATTGGCCCGAATTGGTGAAGTACTGCGGTTATCGTGAGGACAATGTTCCTCAATTGGAGGATGTTAGTAACTATTTGAAACGTAAGACGGGCTTTCAGCTGCGTCCAGTTGCTGGTTACTTGTCACCACGCGATTTTTTGTCCGGCTTGGCTTTTCGTGTTTTTCATTGTACGCAGTATATTAGACACTCGTCGGATCCATTTTATACGCCCGAACCGTAAGTTCTTTAGTGTTCGTTAATTAGCGCGATGTTTGAGGTATTTTCTTTGAATTGTTTTCATATAAAGCGACTGCTGTCATGAGCTCCTGGGTCACATGCCATTACTAGCTAATCCAAGTTTTGCTCAGTTTTCTCAGGAAATCGGCTTGGCTTCGTTGGGTGCCGCGGATGCAGATATCGAAAAATTGGCAACGGTTGGTTAATATTTGAATTTCTCAAAATATTTTATTATTATTTAGATTTTTACGAAATGGGTGAGTGCTTTGTAATACTTGGTTTTTTATATATCCATATATAGTTTTTATTGAATAGGAATAAAGCAAGGAATAAAGAATCTTTTTTTTTTTATAAATTGAGGGAATATTATGCCAAATATTAATTGTTTGATATCAATAATTTTGACCAGCATAATAAATTATGGAAAATTCTCGCGCAGCTATACTTCTTTACGGTGGAATTTGGTCTCTGCAAGCAACCGGATAGCACTTTCAAGGTATACGGCGCTGGCCTACTGAGCTCTATAGCTGAACTACAACATGCTATAACCGCTAAAGATAAAATCAAAAAATTCGATCCGGATGTGACGTGTCAAGAGGAATGCATCATAACCTCATATCAAAATGCCTACTATTACACCGATTCATTTGAGGAAGCTAAAGAGCAAATGCGGTATGCACACACTTGCAATTTTATTTATTTATAAATTTATGCAAACAACTATTTGTGTTTATCAGAAATTTCGCTGACAGCATACAACGCCCCTTCGGTGTGCGCTACAATCCTTATACCCAAGAGGTCGAGGTACTCTCGAACGCGCAGAAGATAACCGCTTTTGTGAGCGAGCTAAAGGGCGATTTGAGTTTGGTTTGTCAAGCAATGCGCAAGATTTCCGCAAACGATGAACAATTGGATGTAGACAGCATTGCAAATATGTTGCAGACAACACTGAATGTGCGTGGCGATCGAACGCCGGGTAGCTCGGTAAGTCCAGATAATTCAGATAACTCGCAGCACTCGGTGGGTGAATAGAGGCGTGAAGAAATATGAGAAATTGTTTTTAATGACAAAATGCCGAAATTGCTGGAACTTGGAACAACTCTCAATAATAAATATCGATATTAAATTTCAAATAAAAAATTTCTTTTGAACACAAAAACTAAAAAAAAAAACACTCAAGAAATGGATGTATGTATGTATAGCAAAATTTATTAAAAAATTTCCGTCTGTATGTGAATATTTTGCAATAATATAATTAAAGTACACAAAATAATATAAACGTGCTTAATATTATATTATTCGTACGTTTATACATATGTAAGTATGTATTGTGAAGTAGTGGCATTGTAGAGAAATTCTTATCAAATATGAGAAACAAATTTGTATTCACTCAAATACGTTTAGCTAATGCTTCGTTCTTAATACTAAATTAGAGCTACAGTTATTTGTTTAACTATCTAAACGCCTGCATTGTGTTTCTGCAAGTCTTCGAGCTTCAAACTATTTAATTGTACAAAAATAGTGTTTGAAATCTTTTTTCTAGGCAATCTAACTTAGTCTATTTTATACTCTAATTTTAACTAGCACCTACATGTCTTATACTCGATTTATCTGTTGTAAATCATATCACAATCGCTTCCGATGAATTGTTTGCTGATAAAATTCGTCGAGCACTCCACCAAGTAGTTGGGTATGGTCCAAATGTTGAAGATGCTTAACAATGGCGATACGCGCCGCTTAATACCACTCACTATATAACAGTAGGAGCCGCGAAACCAATTCCTCGACGCTTTCTCGACACCTTTGTATACTTTCTTCGGCTGCAGCATCTCTTTGACCTCAACACGTGGCGTGATTTGCATTTTATCAACAGATTCGCAAACTTTTTCATTGCTCATTAAAATACCCGCCACAATATACATCAATTTGAAATATCTGCAACGATGTGTGGAAGAGAGAGAGAGAGAGGAGAGAGACGAAATTATTATAAAATATCAATTGAAAATATTAATGGCAATTATGCTTTTAAGCGCTAAACTTATTGTAGCTAGGCGCTATAAAAATGTATGTGTGCATAAAAAATATTAAGAAAACAAAAACAGGCTGATAAGGCTCAAGTGTACATTTGTAAAAAATACGTGCAAATAACGTTTTAGTATTTCTTCGTGTATTTAATATTTAAGAGTGTGCGGCGATATCTTGGTATTCTATTCAACGTTTTTCTACCTTAAATACTTATGCATATTCATATCTAAGTTCTGAACTTTGTACCGTATGTGCTTACAAACGTAAGTATGTTAACAAGCTGCTCTGCCTGTTCAAACAATGCGCCTTGAGCGGTGATACAACATAATTACACAGCTGTAAAACAAATTAAATTTACACAATTAAAAAAATAGTTTGTGAAAATAAATAAAAAATACCCTGAAGAAAATTTTAATAAAAGAAACTTTGTTGATTCACTGTTACTTAGTCAGCAGCGCTAGTAATCAATTATACCTCAGGCAATGTTTGTACTACTCTATCACTCTTAAAGTTATTGTGTGAATATGTTATTCGTACAACATTATTTGAAGCTATTGGAATATGCTTTCAAGTAGTTAAAAATGAGATTTGAATTTTTCTATCTGACAATAAGAAAAAATAGAAAACTATCTTACTATCTAGAGACTATCTTAGAGGTGTCTAAAAACTTATTTTTCAGAGTGCAAAACGACAAAATATATTCGATTTTTTTGACGCAGCCTAACCTAAATATATGTATAGTTAAATATCACATCGAGGAGAATTTCACGAAAATATCTCTGGTTTTTTATACTGGGATCGTAAGTGTAAGTTGTAAGTAAATAGAAAAAGGCTACGCTACGTCATTTTTCAGCGAAAACAAAGACACGCAATAATAATAATCAAATGTTATCTACGTATATACATATATTGTAGTAAAGTCCAAATGAGTAACGTTTTAAGAATGTAAAGATTAGAATTTATAAATGATTTCAACAACCAAGCAAATCGATAACACTTGAGTTTGGCATTTTTTTATCGTAGTTGAACTACAAGTGAATGTTCAAGTGTCCAATTTCTTAAGAGGAGTCTTAATCGTACACTTTAGCAATTATTATTTTCAGAAAAATAAAAGAGATGGTTTCACAGGATTTCATAGCGTTACACATACTCGTCGCCATTTTCCAAACGTACCTGAAGGTTCTGGACATCATTTTGTTGGATCCGTTCTCAATTATCGCTAACTCACTAACTACAACTTCCAAATCCTTCAGAGTCATGAATTTTTCAAGTTACACGTTCACACATCCGATTTTGATCAAATGCCTTTTATTCTGAATTTCAATGTAGCGCTGAGTTTATTCTTAGTGCAATAATACTTAATTTCTATATGATTTCTTCCAACTAATGGCAAGTGTTTTTTTTGTTTTTTTTTAATATTATTTTCTAAAACACATCTATAAAAAATATTTTTTAATTGATAAGAATTTTATGTTCACTTTATTAATTATTTTGTTTAAATTTTTTTTTCTTTGCGATTAGGTGTCGCGTCGCTTATATTGCATTGCCCTTGATTTATCCGTCCGATTCGAAATTAAAATTATTCAAGAAATTATTATTTTGTGCACGCTTACGCCGAACTTCATGCCTTAACTGAGCGTTTTACTCTGCGCCAACAGCATAGTATACTAAAAATGCGTTAGATGAGATTTTCAGGCTTTGAACTCTCTTCACAGCCCAGATCGTTGCTGCGAAACTGTCTACCTGATAGCAAGAAGATTATGTCGACAGATAAGCGATGTTAGCGTTGTTGGATTGAGAACTCAACAATCACAATTGGGGAAGAAGAAAATCATGCACTTTTACTAGAAAGAGCGTGAACATACATGTATGTATGTAAATACACACAAGTGTTTGTAGTATACTTGTATTTGTATTTAGTGGGAGAAAATGTATGTATTCGTTGCACGTGCACTGACTTTTTCAAACTGCCACCAGTTTGTGAATTTAGCCTGCAGTGAAATCAACTAGTTATAAATTACTTGGCAACTAGTATGAACCATAGGGTTTATGCCCGAGGAGATGTCAATCGTCAGATTTGGGTTATAATTTATACAACAGTCTTATACTAGTTCATTATAGAACGTAAGTAATTCTTCTAGTGTAAAAATCATAAATAAAATAATATAAAATAAAAACTTATTTATAAAATTTTTTATTTGGCATCTTAAAAATTTTCACTTGTAGTCCGCTGTTTAAATAAGTACATAAAACGTTAAATAAAACCTTTCATTAAAACACCGTTCTAAAATTTGTGTTTTTCGTAGTAGTTTGACTTTAATTCCATAATATGTGTTGACTGGTCTGTTATACCACAAAAGAATACATACAAACTAACTTACATATTATCATGGCTCATTGTGGTAACATATGCATATGTATATGACCTGTGAAAATTTCATCTATTTCATAGAAGGGTTTTGTGCAATGACGCACTCAGGAAATAGATTGTTACGATTACTTCATGCATTTCAATAAAAAAGTGGACCAAATTAGACAAATTATAAATTTGTGTAGTTCCTTATGTATACTTAAGTATTTTCGAAACAAATATATGGCAATCTTAGCAGGTTTCGGTTGTGTTTTTGTGACGCACAAATTCAGCCTATTTGAGGGTTAGACCCATCTAAATCAATTTTTGTTTTTTAAAAAGTGACAGACATATACGATATGTTAATTCTCGGAATTTTTTTGTTTCAGATTTATCATAAAAGTTTTTTAAGTAAATGCATATGCTTTGTCTACTCTGGCTATATATGCAATAGTTTTTGTGTCAATGCTCTTCGCCGTCACTGTGGTCGCTTTTTATGCCAGTTTTCCTTGTAACAAACCATTTGGGTTGACGACTTCGCTAAGCATGGCCAGAGCAGAGAATGTTAATGAATTTATTAACATTCTCTGTCGAAAATGCGCAAATTCGAAAGTTCAATTACACCACATCAAAAAGGTACCTTCCCCTCATGATAATCGAACTCAACAAACTACACCACAACCAAGTAAATTTTTGCCACCTTACAAAGCTAATGTATATATGTACAATCTTGTATTCTCTATAAATAGTTCTATTGGTATCAAAACTGTTAAATTAATAAATTAACATAAATAAATTTATTAACATTCTCTGGTTTAGTCCCAGGTTACTGGTCGGTTTTTTTGATAAAATATATCTGGTATTATATACTTACTAGAGGCTTCGATCGGAAAAAGATGCACTGCTTATAATTTCGCTTATTACCATGATCACCCCTAGTTTGACCTCGCGTAACCACTAGTTTGGTCATTACAGGTGAGGTCACTCACACTTAGCGAGGACAATAATCCTTAACGATATCACCGATAGCAAATAGAGCCACTGTGGACGGAGATTGACCACTGCATGACCAGGGGCCCAGTTGTTTTAATACGTACGTAGTAGAAAATTTAAAATTGTGTGTTTTATTTGTAACATCTTGCACTTGACATATATTTCTGAGTCATAAATAACATGTTTAATATTATATACTCATGATAAATAAATTTTTTATTAATCAGTAATATGTTATTAAATAAAAGTTTTATTAGATGCGATTGCTTTACTTACTTTAACTATGGTAATCTAATCTTATATCATACTTATTCAGTTTATGTGAGGACTTTAGTACAATAATTTAGATTATTGTTCACTAACTACGAGTCAATAACATACAATATATATTTTACATATATTTTAATCATATTAAGTTTTATTATGGACTGATTGGAGCCATAAAAAGTTTATAGCATAGCTGATTTAATTTAAAAAAATTGCCTTGGGAAAATAATAAAAATATTAACTTATGGTATATCTGTATGTTACTATAGATATTTATATAAAATACATGGCAAGTCTGACAAGTGAAAAGGCAATCAGTATTTAATTAAAAAAAAAATACAAATTCTGAATAACTTTGGAATTTCAAGTAAGTAAGTAAGTTAAATAACAAAAATAATTTTAAATTTATCCCGGCAAATAATGTTGCACACAGCCGTTCATGAGTGCATCAGAAAGGTTAACTCAAGTTAAGTTTTGAGGAGAGTTAACTAAAATCAGTGGTGTGTTTATTTTCATTTCTTGATTAGTGCACTATACATATTCAACGTTCTATCACCTTAGAGCTTAGGAAATAGCCAAATCGGTATACACCTCCATATTAAGGTGATCTGAAATATAAAGTAAAATTTGTTCGTCGAAAAGGTTATGGAAATTTTGTTTTCACTAAATATTTCCGTTTTTCAACATTGAAAACCGGCTGGTAAGATAGAATAAGCAAGTATATTAATCTTTTGTAATGCTTAAAGATAGGGAAATATTTGAAAAAGTTGTTTCGCAGTTTAAGTCCAGATAATCTTTAATTATAAAGAAAACGAGAAAAAAAGGATAGAGATCACGTAAGGCGGGCTAGAGGTGAATTTGATACCTTGCCAGGGGCAAGTTGTCCTCTTGCACTCGGATGGTGGATCTATGGAGCTCCCGTGAGCTTGTCAAGCGCTGGCCAACAATTAGAACTCTTAGAAAAGTGCATTTCGCCTATTCCGACTGGAGACTGTCCAATGGGTTCACGCGCGGTGTGGCTAAAAATCTTTTCGGATGCATCCTACAAAAGCGGTATGGGGGAAGGCGAGGTGGAATTATCAATGCGTTTTCACTTTATTACCCGGCTTTTACGAGACTGATGTTGAAATAACTCGGTAGACACACTTTCGGCGAATCTAATGAAGTCGCTCGGATTGGTATTAGCCGCCTTAACAAATTTGTGGTAAGCTCAAAACGATTCATCGATTTTAGAGGATCTGTGGATTCTTATTTAATAGTTTTGGGTAAAAGACCAGCTGTTCAAGTGGGATTCTGCGCTACCTTTGCTGCGAGGATCAACCCTACGACTTAATTTTTCCAGACCTACGGGTCAAGTGAGGTCAAACTAGGAGAAAAGGGAATTCAAGATATTGTAGATGAAGCAAGGTCAAGCTGGAATTCAAAGAGACTACCATGGGAAATGAGGACAATATCATATTCTTCGTACAAAAATGATCCCTGATCGCTGAATTTCAAAGGCTTAACCCCCCAAATTGTATTGATGACATTCTTAAATGTGTTCTCTGTCCCGTTGTTTACACTATTAATTGAAGAGATTTGAAATCACAGCAATAACTTGATATCATCAATTACCAATGGATAATAGCACCAACAACTATGTCTAATCTTTTCAATACTTTTCTAGTAAACTCAAATACAAACTTTCATTCAAGCCAAACATTTATATTTGCATATGTGTAACTTGTGCGAGAGCTCTTGTAATATTTGTATATTGTTTTAATTCACACTTCTCAATCTTCTTATGGCATCAACTCGAGCTGACGTTGTTAGCTTGTAAAACTGACCACAGCCTTTTCCTTGTCTTTGTTTTTGCCTCTACGAGTACGAGTATGGATGTATATATACTTGTATATATATATCTGTGTAAGTATATTTATGCTTATGTCCGTCACTTGAGTGATATTGTATATATTATTTGATGCTTTTGTAGCCACAAGTGAAAACGTTTAAATTAAATGCATTCTAAGTCATTTGTAACCTTCTGTTTTGCTCCTTACAATCTTGCTGACAGAAAATGTACGTACATCATACAACAACAATAGCAACTTCCAGTTTAGCACATAGAAGGGACAAAGGGCTTCGTTGTCATCTGGCAGGCGGTGTTGGCTGTGCTGATGTTGTTGGTGTTGGCTCTTGGCTAAGGACAATTTCAATATTGGCTTCTTGGCCAGTTAAGCTCAGTATAGCCTGTGGTAACTTGTTGCATTACATACCAGTACCGTCATGAATGCACTGACGCTTGAGCATCGCAAATGAGTGACGATGTGTGTATATGTCGGGTTTTACAATTGTAACTGGACTCTAGTAGAAGTTAGAATAGTTTAATAAAACAGCATATCTGTCGTAAATGGTTATGGAATCACTAATAAAAATCTGGATCGGATATTTCTGAGCCGTTCTTTTTTTTAAGTTAATCTTACTTTCAAATATTATTCTAAGAATGATTTTCTTACTTTGACAATGTTTGTAACATTCTGAAGGAAACGTCGGATCCCCTATAATGTGTATATATGTATATACATGCACGACGAGCTGAGTCGATTTAGCCATCCTCGTCTGTCTGTATATACGCGAACTGGTCCCTAATTTTTTAAAATATGACTTTAGAATTTGGCACACGATTTTATTCTCAAAAAACTGCTTAATTGTTTGCACCTACCATATCGGGAATTTATAGCATATAACATCGATCAAAATAAAGTTACAATATGGAAAACTTTTTATTTGACAATATATCTTCTCGAAATTTAGAATAGATAATCAATAATCCAAGGTAACGCTACAAGCTTTGAAGAAAGTATAGCTGCCAAACACACCGATCAAACTCAAGTTAAATATCTTTTTATACCTTTTGTCTTAACGTTTTTTCTAGTTCTCTTTAAATCTTTGAACCGAGCAGAAGCAATCTATCAAGTCTTATGACGCTTGAGTGTAGTGATTTTGAATGTAGCGACTTTTATAGACCACAGCAGATGGTCAAAGCTTAGAAATTCAGAAAAAAAGCAAAACGGGCCCTTCACATTACGAATGTTAATAAAAAAATAAGTAGTACCACACCTTTTTAGACTAGTTTAGCATTTGTCTGGTTTCGCTTCGATTTACAACGAATATATTGCACATCACAAACTTATATACATAAATAAACTTTAGAATAAAAGTAGCCAGCGCTGGTCTATGCAAGCGATAGTGGTCAGCTTGACAGCACAGGACAAATGCTGCTTGCAACGCTTATGCTTGCTGCACTTCCTCAATTGCCTATGAGTATGTTGTGTGTTGGTGCGCTCGTAAGCTGCATTTCGAAATCGTTCTTGTCCGGTGTATTGCTACGACTGCAAGTGTGGCTACCAACTATCAAGATGAACAAGCACTTTCTTCTTCTATGGGATGAGGTAAGCAGTCACGTGTCACATCTGCACATCTTGCGCTCGGTTTTACAGTAAGG